TATAAATATATATATATATATATATATATATATATATATATATGTTGGTATCAAGAAATGTGAAACCCAAACATTATTTCACAAATATTTGTCATTATATTCCATCTTTCCGAAGAATTAGGCATTCTCAAGAAATTTATTGTGAGTCATGTATTATAAAAAAGATATACATATTTTTTAGTAGACTAGAACTCTATATATGTAATGATATCAAATAATATAGAAGAATATAAAGATGGTTCTATAAATCTTATCATTTAATTTTGTTACGAAATAGAAAGTTAATGAACGGAGGAGACAAGAAGATTCCAAAGGAACAAGAGAAGAGAAGAGCAAAGCAAAGGATCTAAACGATTTCACACAATCAAATGGAACAGGCCTACATACATTCTTTCCTTCTGTTGACCGCAAAGCAATTAAATTGATAGTCTAATCACATATTATGGTGGAATATTTTGGCCTTCCTCTAAAATTTGCTTATACACCAAACTATATGATAAACCGAATTTTTTACGATTAGAGAAAATAAATTCATCTAAGAAAATAATAGAGGACTTAAGGTATCATATCATTGTAATTATATATATATATATATCATATTACATTAATATTATAAGTAAATTATAATTGATTGTCAAGCATTGTACTAAAACAATAGATAGACACATGAGACGAATTATCATCTACGCTTTAAATTGATAGTCTAATCACCCACCCATTATGGTGGAATATTTTGGCCTTCCTCTAACACTTGCCTACACCAAACTATATGATAAACCGAATTTTTTACGATTAGAGAAAATAATAGATCCATAAATCTAAATTGACTTCCTAGAAAATTGGCCATTATTCTTATGCACAAGATTATGCTATGCAAAAAAAAAAAACGTGCGGTTGTTTTATTATGTAATCAATGTTAACCACCCAAAATCATAAGAATCTCCCAAAGAAAAACAAAAACAAAACGAATCCTCGGGTTAAGCAAAATGGGCCTAAAATTCAAATATGGGCCATAAGCAGGCCCATTTTAAAAACCCTAATTTTCTTAAACTTGTTCGAAGAGCTCTGCAGCTAGGGTTTCTCGAAGGCACCTAACGAAGCTTCCTCTATATAAACAACACAGCATCTGCACTCTCCCTTAACCTCACAGTTATAAGCCCTAATCGATTTCGGCTCCCTATTCTGCTATGCTCCGAATCTGTTCTTAGCGATTTCTCTTTTTTTTCTCCGTTTCTAAAATCTTCTTAGAGATTGATTTTTTGAATAGGGAAGACGGGAAGTGATGATTATTTCCCCAAATGAGCGACGCTGATTATACTGTGCGAATTGTTTTTCTCTTTCTTGCAAAGAGATTCCAAGCCAGAACTCTGATCCCTCTTCCTCTCTTGAGTTTTCATCCCTTTTTTCCCTAATTTTTTCACGAAATTATTTGTTTTTGAATTGTTGGTAAATGCGTATTAAAAAAAATCATTTTTGTGATTGAATTTAGCAATTATGGTGATGGAATTGATGATTATTTCCCCAAATGATCGAAGCTGAACAAACTGTGCGATCTCTTTAGAGATTTTCCAAGCCAGGAATCTGATCCATCATCTTCTCTCCCGTTTTTTTAATTAATTTTCTCGGGTTTTTTTCCATGTTACTTTTTTTAATTTTATTTTATCCAGTGGTTACATTTTAATCTGGTTTCGCTTGTTAATAAAATTCCAAACTTTTGTCAATATTAAAAGTGAAAATCTAAAAAAAAAATAGTTTGAGTTTTCAATTTTGATAAAAAAAAATAATGAATTTTATTTTTTATCAAATAAATATTAAATTTTTTAAGCGAATCTAAAAAATGATCTAAAAAAATATATAAATTTCTTTTGATTATAAAAAAAACATTGAATTTTTGAATGATCATATATTTATATATGATTATTAAAAAAATTAAAAAATACAATCATATATTTATATATGATTGTGTTACATCAATCATTTTGTTTATTTTTTTTTTGAAAAGTTAAGTATTTATTTTGTCAAATTTTAAAAATTTAATATTTATTTGATAAAATAAAAAATTTAATATTTATTTTGTCAAAATTTAAAAATTGTGTCTTTTTTTTTTTCTGTATTAAAATTGTGATAAACAGTTTTCTTGAAAACCGGAAAGGGTTGATCGATTTTTACGTCATATTGATAGTTTAACATAATCAACAAAAGATGCCCGAAAGAAACGAGATCTAAGTCGGCAAGAAGATACAAAAGGGGCCGAAGTTTCTTTTGTTCTTAGCAAAGTTTAATGGAAGATATACAATATTAACAAATGTTGCAGCCCGGGGAAATACTCCGTATTATTAAGGATGTACTTAAAAGTCTAGATTTAACTAATGGACGAGCAACAAAATTAATAATCAACAAACAACAAAGAAAAAAAAATCTGAAAATTTCAAAAATTATATTTTGGTGGAATATTAATTATTAAAGTGTGATCTATTTAATTCTGAACTCAACACTGTTGTTCGAGCTTATGTAACAGACAAATCAATAAGGAAATGTCATGTCAACCGAACCGATTAGATCCGGTATCGGTTCATAGATAAACTGAGTTTTAATCTAATCGAATCACAAATAAATCGAGTTTAAGCGAACTGAGTCATAAATAAAACGGGTTGAAACGAATCGAGTCATACACAGAAAATCGAAAAAGAAATCGGTCTAAACAAATCGGTTTGAATATAAAAAATCGGGTTTAAGGGACCCAATCATGGTTTAAAAATAGAAAACCAGGTTTAAGCGATCCAGTTCTGGTTTTTTATATTCAAATTGGGACCGGTCGCTTAAGCCCAGGTTTTTTTTCCGGTTTTCTATATATAATCTATTTTGCTTAAATCCGATTTATTTATTATTCGGTTCGTTTAAATCCGAATATAAAATCTAGCTCATATTCGAATTCAAAAGTCAGATTCTCTAATCTATGCTTGTATCACTTTATAAATGGATAAAAACAAATTTATGTTGAATCTTTTGTTAGTTTTTACTTATTAATTGATATTGTATTAAGATTATTTTTCGGATTGTTTTTTTTAATGATTTTAACTCTTTTTTTTTTTCCTTCTAATTCGGGAGTAGATCCGTTTAGTCCGCGTGTTATGTGAGCCGGGTTCGAACTGTGCATTCCCAACCCATTTCAAAAACGAATCGGGTTTATTCGATTCAAAAAATGGACGGGCTTTTTGGGCTTTAGGAAAACTAAATGGGCTTTGATGGGAAAACATAATTGGGCTTAAGAAAAACCTTAATTGAGCCGTGAGATGTTAGGTTAAGAGCCCACCAGATCCGTTGCTCCCCCCCCCTCTTGTTCTGTGGTTCCAGATTTAGGGTTTTGCTGTTTATATCTAGCTTTTGCTCTCTGCGCAGAAGAGCACCCAACCCTAACCATGGCGGCGCAACCAGCGGTGGAATCCGTCCAATGCTTCGGTCGGAAGAAGACGGCGGTGGCGGTTACTTACTGCAAGCGAGGCTCCGGTCTGATCAAGATCAATGGTTGTCCGATCGAGCTTATCCAGCCTGAGATCCTCCGTTTCAAGGTCTTCGAGCCGATCCTCCTCCTCGGACGGCACCGTTTCGCGGGGGTCGACATGAGGATCCGCGTCAAAGGCGGTGGTCACACATCGCAGATCTACGCCATCAGACAGAGCATAGCGAAGGCGCTCGTGGCGTTTTACCAGAAGTATGTGGACGAGCAGTCGAAGAAGGAGATAAAGGATATCATGGTGAGGTATGACAGGACGTTGCTAGTTGCCGATCCTAGAAGGTGTGAGCCCAAGAAGTTCGGTGGTCGTGGTGCTCGTGCCAGATTCCAGAAGAGTTACCGTTGAAACAACAAGAAAAAGGTTTTGTGGGTTTTTTTGTTTTGTTTTGGGTACTTGGTTCTTATTCCTATATGCTTATCAGTGTGACTTAAGATTTTATGTCTGTTTAAAGCTGGAGGCTTTTGATTGTTGATTTTGGTAATGTCAACACTTATATCCTGGGGGTGTTATAATCTTAGCCTGCGTTTTGAATTCGTGATGTTCTTAGCTGTTGAAAGTTCAGAGTTTCAATGTTGACATAATCTCAGTACATTGTCCGTACCAGATGTTAACATTGCCTTCAATAAATGGCCAAAAGGGCAAGAGCAAAAGAGGTTTCACATTCTTGAGATTTGGAGAGGGAAACTAGGACTAGTGTCGAGGATGTTACTACTGGTAGGAAGAGAGACCAGTCTGTGTTTTTCGCAAGTGTCTACTACTCCTCTTTCGAAAAGATACCTCTCACAGCTTTTAGCAGCTTCCATTCCGGCCAAGAACGCTCCGTGGACTGACCCTTGATGTGCAATATTCACGGCTTCTCCTCCAAAGAATATGTTCCCCACCGGCTCCCCGAGCCTCTCGTATAGATCCTCGGGCATCCCGACTACGTCGTACGCGTAGCAACCTAATGTGTTCGGGTCTGTTCCCCACCTCGTCACTCGATATTCCACCTGTTTTTCGTGTCCAAACCAAACAGCAATCTGTTATTTTTTGAATAAGATTGGAGAAAAAAGACCCCATATTTTGGGTACTTTGTCGATATGAAATCCAGCGAAAACCATATGAGATGAGACTGGATTATGAATAAACTTGAAAAAAATAAAAATTTTAGGATATTCATGAAACCAGAAACCAAAATTTATATTGGATACCTAACTCGGATGATATCTCATGAGATCTGAGACATTTGGGTTTGGTTTTGGATATCGATACTCGTACCTTTCACGTAATAAGGATGCGGAATGATGAAAAAAATATATGCTTTTTTTGCTTACCGGATCAGGAGCATTGGGGAACATTTTCTTGAGCTGTAACATCACCAAATTCGCCGTAGACTCGTCCGATAGCATTTCAAGATCCTTGGCCAAGGTTCCTGCAGCCATATACACGAGCACTGGATGACCCATTGCCTTGTTGAGGTTCAGGAAGTAACCACATGCCTTTGGAGTAGAGGCGACCATTCCCAAGAACTCGACGTTTGGCCAAAACACAGCGTCAAAACGCAAGGCGATCTTGTTCTCGCATCCAACACCGATATCGGATATTGCAGATGCCTTCCATTGTGGGAGCTCGGGTTCGAATTCAATCAAATTTGCCTTGAGAACGCCGACCGGAACCGTGATAATTGCAGCATCAGCCACAGAAACGGTTCCACCTTCCACTGTGACTGTCACCTTGTTAGATGTTCTTGATACTTTAGTAACCCTGCAATACCATTTTGAAGTCATTTTCCAGGTTTGAAGATCATGGAATAAATCTCCTACGTAAGAAATCAAGCTGACGGAATGAAGGTACCTATGATTCAGACGGATATCGAGGTTGTTTGCGAGTGTTTTGATCACTGGTTCATAACCCTGCACCATCAGACCATGACCACCTGAAAGGCATTCATCCTGCACATTCAAAATAAACCATTCGAGCTTTCTCACTTTCTTACTCATGGAACAAGACAGTCAAACACAATTTGGAACACGAAACTAATTTTCACTTGCCTGATCCCAGCATCTTAGTGATATCAAATCTGAATCAATGGCAAACCATGCTTCCATCCTACATATGTACCACTGCAAGACTTCGTGTCTGATTCCTTCTTGCCTATCGAAAAGTAAAACCGCGGTTATGAGGAGATATAATATGATATCAACAGGTGATGCTATCGATGCTCTTGAACTTAGTACCTTAACTCTGGATGTCTATCCAACACCATCGATATTGCTTGGCGAACCGACATGTCACTGGTGTTTTCATCCCTTATTTTCTCCGTCTGGAGGAACAGACAAGAAATACGAAGGCTTCAGTGTTTCATAAAGTGAATAATAATCGGAAATTTGTATCCGGAACACACACTGCAAAGTTTACCTCTTCGAGAATTCTCTTGAACGATTCCCCAACTTCAGCGACCAATTGTGCCGAGATTTTTTGTCCATGTGTGTCATAAAGCGCATAGCTGAAAAATCAAGACAAACTTCCGTGAGATGTATAGTTCAAATCAGTAGTAGCATTGGCATAACTTGGAATCATAATCCATAAATCAAACAGTGTTTCCAAATCTCAAATCAGTCTAACTATTGAATTGTTTTAAACCACCACCTGGCTTCATATAATCATACTGATAACTAAATCAGCCATAGGTTTCTATCCAAGAACCTACACCATGATGTTGATAATCAAAGTACAAACAGGTACTAACTGTACAGCAAACTGCAATTGTTGTAATTCGACAGATACAAAGATGAAAAGTCAGGGAAAGGCTTACCTTTCTAAGTCATGATCATACAAGACGGAGTCATCGCCGCTAGTGCGATACAATGTAAGCCCTAGACGGCGAATTATTGGAGCCAGAGGGTTCTCATTACAGACTCCATGTAACCTGGACAACACGAGCACAGATTAAGATATGGTTATTTTCAAGAACAAAATGATCAGAGGCTACAATAACGGCCTAATCCTCAAGAACTCTCTCAAACAAAAGTATCATCTACAAGAGTAAGAGAAACAGCCAAGAAATCGGCTGACAAGAAAAAAAGGAAAGAAAACTCACCAAGAAGCTCCTAAATCGACTGGACAACCAAATGAATAATCCGTATGGATGCGACCACCGATCCTATCCCGTGATTCAAGAACAGTCACCTACACAAACAACCATTATGTCAAATTTGTCCAATGCAGAATGCAAAACTACAGTCCATTCCTTTTGATCCAAGAAGCTGACAAAGTCATCACCTTGAAGGATGCATCCAAGAGATTCCGAGCAGCAGCAAGACCCGATATACCACTGCCAATCACTATAACTGAAGGCTGCAGCAAATTGTTCTGCCCCTGAATGAGCGAAGTAATTGCACCTGGTAAGCAGCAAAACACGTATAAACTATAAGAGAGGATATTTTTCAAGCGAGAAAAAAAGATTTCCAATGTCAAGAAATTGAAAAATCAAAATGAAAAACTGAACTTCTAACAAGACAAGTACTATAATTTTCTTCTAAAAAATTTCATTCTAACCACATTTTACATATAAACTAGAGTTCTCCATTCTACGAATTTAAACAGTCTCCTTTGTAACTTATGGAACCTGACAAAACGAACTTCGAGCATAGAAACTTACCCACCAATGGCAAATACATACATTATATAACAAATTGCAAAGATACATAGAAAGGAACATGAAGAAATATCTAACAGCAGGAAAAAAATACCCATCCATTACCCAAAACGCACTCTTTTCAAATCGTCTGTCGCACAATTTCAAACATTGTCAAAGCAAGAAAAGAAGACATCAAAAGATAGATTTGGTCGAACTTACCATCATGGAGATCATCAGAAGGAGGAACCTTCGTCTCCATCCAAGCAATTCGTCCGAAAGAGACGCCGGAGAAGAGGAACGGCGAAAAAAAAAGAACGCATAAACAAGAAACCAGGAAAGAATCGGAGAGATCAACTAAATAAATGATAAAGAATGAAGATGAGGAGGCCGGCGGAGAATCGGCGGAGATTGGAGGAGCAGCGAAGCTTATCGAACCAACTCATCGTCGAAGCTCATGATGGAGCACATCAATGGCGACGATTCAGGGAAAAATCTGTCCCGCAGATGACGATTCGGACGAGTGCCGGAGCGATTCGACTCGGTGCCGGAGAACTCAAAGTTACGTGATCAGAGAATTCTTCCTTTTTTCTGTCTTCTTCTTCTACACGTAACGCACGCGGAAGCGATGAAACGAGAGCTTAAACGTAGGGGAAGGTCTATTGCTCCTTTTATAGTGCGAATTCTCGGCGACCAGTAGATCTTTTTGAGAACCTTTCGAAATGACTGCTTTACCCTTTCGTGATAATCTCTCGCCTTCCTTGAAATTAGACAATTGATTTGACGTGTTATTCCAGATGAAATTTGAAAAACGTGTATAAAGTTTTATAGTGCGAATTCTTCTCGACCAGTAGATCTTTTGAGAACCTTTCGAAATGAGACAATTGATTCTGTATAAAATTTTATTTCCAAAAGCATATATAAGATTTAATAATCAAATTAAAAATTAAATAATCTGTAGTGTATTCATTCAGAAAAAATCAGATATAGTTAGCTACAGATATTTTTTATAACTATATAAAAAGCACAATAATTGCATAATAATTAAATACGTAACGATGGAAGTGGGTGGATACACATCAACCTAATCTATTCCACATGCAAATTTCAAGTGGGACATGGCCATTTATGTTGCAATTTGAGCTCACGCAAATTCTGTGTGCTCTTTTATGTTTTAGTGACTATTTTTAATTAATGAATTTTTATATCTGTAATTATAGACGGAATAAAAATTTAATTTACGGTCCATATTGTTTAAATGATTAGTCATATTTTATACATTGTCACATTGGAACTGATCAAAAAACATAGAAAGAATATACTATTATTATAATGCTATTTCTAATGGCACTTATTTAGGAGATTTATAAAGGTATGTATAACCTTTGTCTAGTTGTAGATAGCGAGTGGATGAAACAAAGATTTAAATAACAAGAACTAGTACCACACGTTTTGTGCAATTCATCAAGCCGTGTTCACGCGGAAGTTTCCCACTATTATCAAATAAATAAAAACAAATTAAGATAATTACAAGTAAACAGTGGACGTGCCGGAGTGGTTATCGGGCATGACTAGAAATCATGTGGGCTCTGCCCGCGCAGGTTCGAATCCTGCCGTTCACGTTTTTCAAGGCATTTTCTGTTTTTAGATTTAAAAAAAAATTAACAAACGTATTTGAAAGAAAGAAATACCGGACACATATACGTTAGTAGAAATCTTTTTCCATAAGCTATGATGAGCACGAACAATGGTACCATGTTTATATTTGAAATTTTAATGCGTCATAAACTTGAAGAAAAACAAAGAATTTCGAGCACACGTGATTTGATAAAACCTTTTGGTTGCGGTTATTTTATTTATTTATGCAAAATTGAATAGGTAGGCGTTGTTGAGTAGTGTTTGATTTTAAGGGTCGATGAGTTGTGACGCAACAAAAGAACTCAACTTCGAAAACCTAATTAAGAACCATGCCACTCTTACCACGAGTAATCTGGTTACCCCTAATCTGAATGAGAGAGAACTCAGACTCTGGAAACTCTTAATTAAGCTACAGCCGATGCGAGAACTGTATTTGTTTTTCTTAACACTTCCTAGACTCGATTCACTAACATGAAACGTATTGAAGAAAACGCACACGAAATGCACCAACGCTTTCTACCAACCATTATGCTTATGACCGTCTTGTAACATAAACCACCCATTATTCCATTTTTGTCCAGGAATGAAATGAAAATAACAAGCGAAATCCACTCGAGAGCTCAGCCGCGGATCAAGCTGATGCCAAACGAGATGGTGCAGAACATCAGACCAAACACGGCCAAGAATCCATATTTCCTGTATGCAAATAGATGGCAAACTGTATCAGAGAGTTGCAAATGATATATCATGAGCTCAAAAATTGGGTAAGACTGTTAGAGTTTGTGCTGGAAGGCTTGGAAACAAGACAACATTTTTCCGAACCACTATCTCCTTGTAAGTTTAACCTGTGACCTAATGCTTCGGAATGGAAACATCAAAAAATTCGAACTGCAGTCCAGATGTTAAAACACATCATAATGAACCTATCTCTCCTAGAAGCTTCAACCTTTCCCATTATGATATTCAAGATTAGTGACTATCTTGGATCTTATACCGGTTTCAACATCAGTTTCTTAAGGGAACCGGTCCTAGGTTCTTAAACTGTACAACGCATTTGGTAGTGGTTGACTGTTTGAAACTCACTAACTTATCATTCATACAAGGAACAGAAAACCAGAGAGTGAAACGAGATACCCGATAGTGAGACGTTTCTGAGGATCTCCAGTAGAGTAGCCTCTGAAGTAGAAGAAGCGGGTAACGCTGTAAAGCAAGCCGAGCCCGGCGGAGATGCATGGGTGCTTCATTCCACCGAGTATCATGAGTATGAAGAACATCGGCATCATTTCCAGCGAGTTTTGATGGCCTCGCTGCAAACCAAAATTTTCCAAAAACTCGTGTAAGCCAGGGCTTACATCGAAAGACAACAAGCAAAAAGAAATATTACAGAATCACATCATAAACATGGAAGGGGTTTCCACCTGAACACAATTGAAGCGTTTTGCATCTTTGTTTTCGGATTCTATGGCATAGAGTGTTGGATAAGGTACATTGTACCTGCATTTAGACATCAGTGATACAATTAAGCGTGGAAAACAAACTTGGAGTGATCGAGCATGTTCTTGGATTTAACCAAACAATCTTGAAAACAAGGAACATATAAGGAATCAACTCGAAAAATTAAGGCCAAAATTGACGCAGGCAGTAAGGCTAAAAATAGATCGAAATCCGCTAGCATTTGATGAGAATGGAACTGTAAGGATTATGAAGTTTCAGATTCCTGCCACCACTCACTTGGACGCCGCCAAAAAAGAACCACAGAAATCAAGAGAAACGGGACGAACTAGATCGCTTCATATTCAATCGAAAAAAAGGAGAGAAAATCAACACACAATACATAATCCTGGTGGATTCCTATCGCATGATAAAAAAATCACCATCGATTCCACCAAATCGACCGATCAAAGCAAAGACGTAGGTAGGGAATAGCAAGGAGAAAAGCAAAAGGACCTCCTGCGGGCTCTGCCGACTTGAGCAGCCATCCAGAAATTGAGGAAACAGTAGAAGACGAGGGCAAGGACCACATATCCATACTCTTTCGGCAGAAATTCGACGGCCGCCATTGATGCTTCTCGAAGATCCGAGCTTTTTTCTCTCTGGAAAATAACGAAGTCTTCTCTTGATTTTAGTTTGTCTTCGGGCAAAAGAAATGGAATCTCAATTTCTAATAGATGGTGGCATGGTGGTTGGAGAAACGCTGTCGTTTCCAAGAGTCAATTAAAATAAAAAACGCTTCATAAAAAGTCAAAGCTATCTGGAAATTTGTGCTATGGTGATTAAATATTATTAGTTCACCAAACGATAAAAATAAATGTTGATTCTTCGCTCTTCAGTGGTTAAATATTAATACAACAACGTTAAAAACAAATAAGAATAGATATTCGAATTTTATAAATATTGTTAGATATTCAATCATAAAATATTTTATTCATTCGAGTGTGTGTGTATATATATATATATATATTTATAGACGATTTATTTTTTCACAAAAATAGGAGATTATATTATTATTGCACTTTAAGGCTCATTAGATTAGTCAAACACAAATTACCCTTTAAGATAATGAGCAACCCTGAACCCGACCCTTCTCCTTCTCCACACGCATTGGAAAATTCAACAGAATAATGATTTACATTTCTAAAACACATATTACGAAGAATCTATACTTTGCTAATGATGCAAGTAAATTTTTTTATGGGAAAAAAAAGTTGATGTTACGGATTCCCGTAAACAACCATTACAACTTCTTTCCTCCTTTTTAAGTAGACAAGCAAAAGAATTCTTACACTTACAGTTTTGTCTTCGCAGTCTTTGTCCTTCTTCACATCCTCTGCTTCTGCCCACTGTGTTACATCCACTGCGTAGGCCAATGCTTGATTTCTTCTATACCAATATTCATTTATTGGGTTTTCTTCGATTTTTTTTCCGAGTTTGTAACTGTAAAAGTTTTTTGAAGTGTTATAAGATTTTGTCACGGATTTGATAACGTGTGTCTCAAGTAACCAGGGTACTGTTTCTTCAGGGGGGGCGTGCAGTATGGAGAACAATGAGAAAACTCGTCTGCTCGATAAGATATTTTCTTGGTCCATTAGTGATATTCTCAACAAAGATCTCCTCAAAGGCCAGGTTAGTTTTCTCTTATTAATTCCATGCACCGTCCTGTATAATCATGTGTATTGCTCATATATACATGTTTTTCATCCATGTTTTTTTTGTTGTTTTGTTAGATAAGAACGATACCAGACAAGTTTAGTTCAGTTGAGCAGTACTTAGGATGCTTTGTTGCTCCTCTCCTCGAGGAAACAAGGACAGAACTGTTCTCGAGTTTGAGATCTCTGTCTAAGACGCCCGTCTTTCAAATATATTCACTCGATACTCCTGACTCACGCGGCTCTTCCAAGAATTTGTTCCATAAAATATCGCTGAGTGAAGCTGAGGTTGGTTCAAAGTATCAGCCCAAGTGTGGTGATCTGATTGCTTTGACCAAAGTATGGACGAAACGCATCAGTGATTTGGGACAATACCCAGTTCTGGCATACGTATGTTCAATGGATGATGACAGGCACATTTCGGTTTTGTCATCGAAGCCAATATGCATGGAAGAGAAATTTGCGTATAGGTATGGGGTTTTTCTCATGACCCTGACGTCTAACACTCGTATTTGGAACGCTCTTCACCAAGAAGGTGGCAACATGACTCTCATCAAGAGCGTTCTTCAGGCCGATAAAACGGTACGTTTTCACAGATTATTCTTAATTTGTCATCCGCTTTCTCGTTAGTTCTGGTTTTTCAGTTCGGTTTCTTCTGAATAAGAACATTTGTAATGTTTCGTGGTTAGAATCTGGAGCATATATATATTTTTACGTCCGCTGCTGTCGTTAACTTATGTCTGAAGTTTATACTAACATATATGACTTCATGAATTCTTTTGGAATCTTGATAGCGATAACTTGTATTTCAGGACATTGGGCCTTGTATATCTTGTCTCTCGGACGGAAACGTTCCCGAGGGCATTGTGTTTCATGGTGGCTGTCCTTGCGGTGTGTCTGACGTAATCCGCTCTTTGAAACTGAATCTTTCTCAAGAATCTGCAGTTCTTAGCTGTCTTAGACTTAAGGATTGTGTTCACAAGAACATAGTAAAACTAATCTGGGGTCCTCCCGGGACAGGGAAGACAAAGACTGTGGCTACGCTTCTTTATGCCCTTCTCAAGCTAAGACTGAGAACTGCTACTTGTGCACCTACAAACACTGCTGTTGCAGAAGTGGCGTCGAGGCTCGTAAGTTTGGTTCTTGATTCTTCAGAGTGTAAACCTTACGGGCTCGGGGATATCGTGTTATGTGGAAACAGAGATCGGATGAGGATCGATACCCGTGATGATATCGGTGACATTTTTCTAGATATTCGTATTCAGGCTCTTTCGGGATTGTTTTCGCCGTTTTCAGGGTGGAAGGTTCACTTGGAAGAACTTATTGACTTCCTCGAGAACACTGAGGTTAAGTGGGAGAGATATTTAGGTGGTAATGATGATTCGGATGAAGATTTCAGCGTTCTTTCATGTGGAGAGTTTGTGGTAGACAGATTTCTCGGGTATCTTGAGAAGTTCGACCACGATATGGTCAACTTGTTTACACATCTTCCGACTTCTGTCGTTACCTCTGCGGTTGTTAAGAACATCAGAGCAGCTGATCTTTTGCTTAGGAAGGCTGAGGACCATCTACGAAGGTACTCTTCTTCTGAAGATTTCCAAAGGGGTAGTCTCGTTTACGATTCTTTCGATAGAGTCCACCGTGTTTTGTGCTTGGAGGCGTTGAGATTGGTTCCTCGAACCTTTAACCTTCCAGATTTTGTAGATGACGATGACATTAGAAAGTTCTGCTTGCAAAAGGCCTGTACAATCTTCTGCACTGCCTCTGGTGCGGCTGAGATGAACGAAGATAGAACTGGATCGATCGAGTTTCTTGTTATAGATGAAGCAGCTCAGCTCAAGGAATGCGAAGCCGCGGTTTCCTTGCAACTTCCCGGTTTACGCCACGCTGTTCTTATCGGAGATGAGCTTCAGCTTCCCCCTGTTATTCAAAGCGAGGTAGTTTCGGTTTCGGGATTTTGGCAGTGGCCTCTTTAGGAATTTGATTTTGTTTTATTCTAACCCGGAAAAATTTTGCAGATTTGTGAGAGGGCGAAGTTTGGGAGAAGTTTGTTCGAGAGGTTGGTCGGTCTTGGCCACGAGAAACACTTGCTAGACGTCCAATACAGGATGCATCCATCGATAAGTCAGTTCCCGAATAAGGAGTTCTACGAGGGTATGATATCCGATGCGGATTTCGTCAAGGGAAATGACTATCAGAAGTGTTATGTTCGAGGAAATATGTACGGAACCTACTCGTTCATCAACGTGGGTCGGGGAAGGGAGGAATTCGGGGACGGACACAGCCCCAAGAACGCTGTGGAAGTGGCTGTTATCTTCGAGATCGTATCCAATCTTTTCAAAGGTAAAAAAAAAAACATCATAAGAGCGCTTTGATGATAACTCTGATTCATATGCTAACTACCATCCTCTGTTTTTCGGACATCTGCTCGAAAGTTTCCAAAGACTCCGCCACAAAGATGAGTATCGGTGTGATCTCGCCGTACAAAGGACAGGTTAAAGCGCTTCAGGACAAGTTCGGCGAGGAGTTCAGTTCGAACTCTGAGCTTTTCACTGTGAATGTGCGGTCCGTTGATGGCTTCCAAGGCGGGGAAGAGGACATTATCATCATCTCGACAGTGAGAAGCAACAAGAATGGCAATGTCGGATTCCTTTCGAACCGGCAGCGTGCAAACGTGGCGCTCACACGTGCAAGGTACGTAAGATCAATTTTATCATATAAACTTCAGCGTACGAAGCTGCATATGTATATGAACTGATCAACGCATAAAATTGGTAAAACAGATACTGTCTCTGGGTGATTGGAAATGGAACAACTCTTGGGTTGAGCGGTTCGGTTTGGGGGAAACTGATCGCTGATGCGAAAAGACGAGGGTGTTTCTTCAATGCGGAAGATGATACCAGACTGAAAGTTGCCATGGATGATGTCGAAATAGAGCTCGAGGATTCCGATTTGTTTTCGAGTTTTCGATCTCTTTCGATCAAGAATGGCGGAGGAAAGAGATGGTGAGAGCTTTGTTTGTTTTTTTCCCCGTGTTATGGAACTGAAGAACATGAGATTCACTTCACGAAGGGAATCTACTTATCTTTGTTGCTTTATGTTTTGTGTTATGGGACTCTCGTGTGATCCTGTTTGTCATTTTTTTAATGTTTTATTTTAAAATGTGTTTTTTTTTAAACTTTTAAAGTGGTTTCGTATATAGATATATATTAACATATTATTATGAAAATTGTCATGATGGCTCTGTTGGATAAAAAAAAATGGTACTTTCTTAAAAGTATTTGGGATATCTCTTGCATGTGAGAGAGTTTGCGGTATTTGTGTGAAGCTATCTCATAAAATTTTAAAAGGTTGATTAGTTGTCTTTTCTTTTTCATTTTTAAATGGTATCTGTTGTCATAATATATCTTTTGAATAAAAAATAGTTTTCAAATTATATATTTTATATATATATAACTTGGAACATTTGAATTAAACGTCCTGTCCTTTCTTTTTCTGCATGCGCTTGAAAAAAACAGAGACCACTGATAGATTGGAGTTCTTATGGACATAATTATTATTTGCATCTTTTAAAATCCGTATTACGAAGAGTCATTACGCTGCTAATTTATGCAATTCCATTTTTGCCCCTGGGAGGTTGTTGAGTTTTCAGATTCCCATAAACAAATTAACCAGCTCTAAAATTCAGCCGATATTAAATAATTTTATAAGTTTCTAAAATAATAATATGCGGATGATAAAAATAGTGAACCGCTTTTTGGCTTTTCGTACGACGTCTTTGTAAATCAAATTCAAAAGCAGAGAAGAGAAGGAAAAAGAAGAGAGTCCCTCTGTTTCCTTCCTTCTTCCATGGGGTTTCCTCGTCTTCCACACTGTATCCGAAAGCGACATTTGGCCAATCACTCTCCTCTGAGTCACGACGTCCTTTGCTCTTCATCTTCACCTTCTGAATTCGCTTCTCTGCTACGCTATTTCCCTCTCTCTCTCTCTCTCTCTCTCTCTCTCTCTCTCTCTACACTGTGAATCCGTTTTCAGAGTTTCGTTTCGATGGGTTCTGAGGTAATGGAGAAGAAGGAGGCAACAATGTCTAAAGGGAAAGACCTCGTCGATGTCGTCTTCTCGTGGTCTCTTCCTGATGTGCTCAACAAACGCCTCTTCAAAGGCCAGGTTTTGTTCTTCGTACCCTTCTGTTCTTCACGACCATTTTGGTTCACTGCTGCTCAATGTTAGGTTTTTCTTCGATTGATCATGTGCTCGTTTGTGTTCTTAAATTGCTTCAGAACGTTGTTTTCGTCTTAGGGTTTCAGAGCTCCCATCTATGCTTGTTCTTTGAATCAAACCTCAATATTTCACGACATATTTCTTTGAATTCGTTGTTTGTATTCCGACACTGGAAACAGGTTGGGGAGATTCCTAGTACGTTCCCATCCTGCATGGCTTACTTCAAGTCCTTTGTTCCAGCACTGATCGAAGAAACACATGAGGACTTGATGTCAAGCATGAGAGCACTGCATCACGCACCAGCTTTCGAGATACGCGAAATCAGACACAACAAAGGTTTCAAAGGTCCTAATAACTTGTTGTATGATTTGTACTTACAAGGGATGTCTGATGTCAAGACTGATGGAGATCGTAAGCAATTGGAGCCGAGAGATCTTATTGCAGTGACACTCAAGAAGCCGAATCGTGTTGATGACTTGAGAATTTTCAACGAGCCTTTCTTACTGGCTCTTGTCTGCAATATGGATCCGGACAATCCCACTGTGCTCACTGTTTTGGCCTCGAAGCCCATCCTTTCGGATAACATAGGGATAGACAAGAGAAAGAAGGAGACATTGTATGGAGTCTATCTGATCAACATGATGACCAACATTCGTATCTGGAAAGCCCTCCATCCGGGGAAAGAAGGCGGGAACCTGAACCTCATTTCAAGAGTTCTTGAGGGCAGCGGTGATGTAAGCAACTTTTTACTGGTTCTTAAATGGCTTTGCGCTGCTGAGATGTCTGCAGTAATTTCATGTTTCCCTTTTTATTGCAGGACGGTGCAGCTTGCCTTCCATGTCTACTTGAGGAAAACGACATTTTCGATCCTCGTCATTTCCATGGTCTGATACGTTCACACAAGCTGAATTCATCGCAGAAAGAGGCAATCTTGCACTGTTTGGAAGCCAGGAAATGCTACCATACCAATACAATCAAACTGATATGGGGGCCTCCGGGAACGGGAAAAACGAGTACAACGAGCGTGCTATTGCTGACACTTCTCAAGACGAGATGTCGAACCTTGACATGTGCTCCGACTAACATAGCCGTTCTTGAAGTGGCATCAAGAGTTGTAAAATTAGTCTCGGGATCGTCCGAGATGGGTGGATATGGTCTTGGAGATATAGTTTTGTTTGGGAATGGCAAGAGGATGAAGATCGATGATCGGGATGACCTTATTGATGTCTTCTTGAGTCACCGGGTCGAACAGCTCTATTATTGCTTAATGCCTGTCACTGGTTGGAGAGCTTCGGTAGATTCAATGATACGTTTACTCACTGACCCAAAGGGGTTGTATCTTGAATATTTGAAGAATGAGAAACGTTCGAAAAATGAGGTAAACAAGGAAATTGATTCAGCCACCAAACACAGAGGAAATGGCAACAAGGAAAAGCAAAAATGGGTCGAGAAGATAGAGAAGCAAATTGTTTGTAATGCCCTAGAAGAAAAGAGGAAAAAGGAGCGAAAAGGGGATCGCGTAAAGGAAACGACCAAACACAACGGGAATGATCACAAGGAGAAACAAAAAAGGGTTGGGAAAATACAGAAACAGGTTGCTTCTAATGGCTTGGAAGAAAAGCAGGATCATGTAAAGGAAACAGAGGAAGTACTTTGCGAAGAAGAACCATCTATGTCATTTGAGGAATTTGTAGAACAGAGATTTAGTTACCTCAGAAACATTCTGCAGCGTCATTTCTCGAGTTTGTGTTTGCATCTTCCTACCACTTTGCTTTCACCCCAAGTGGCGGGGAAGATGTTTCAAACTATTAATCTTCTCAGAGATACAGTTGTGGGTACCGAGGAAGGAAGTCACACGATAAAAGTTTGCCTCAAGATGCTAAGATCGATTCATTGCTCTTTCACGCTTCCAGATCTTTTGGACACGAATGATATTAAGAAACTTTGCTTGGGAAATGCATGCCTTCTCTTCTGTACTGCATCTGGTTCTGCCAAATTATATACAGAAGAACCGGTCCAGCTTCTTGTCATCGATGAAGCTGCCCAGCTGAAAGAATGTGAATCAGCCATTGCTTTGCAGCTACCAAGGCTTCGACATGCCATTTTGATCGGTGACGAGTGTCAACTTCCTGCCATGATCCAAAGCAAGGTACTCATATTGTGTGTATTCTGAAGTTTTCTCAATTCTTGGGAGAATATGATTTCCTCTGCGTCTAAACAATGATATGAAAATATGCAGCTTGCTTCAGAGGCTAAACTAGGGAGAAGTTTATTCCAAAGGCTGGTTCTGCTCGGGCGGAAAAAACATTTGCTTAGTACCCAATACCGAATGCATCCTTCTATAAGTATTTTCCCCAACCGAGAGTTCTACAATACGAAAATTTTGGATGCCTCAACAGTTAAACTAAGAAAACATGAGAAGAAGTTTCTTCCTGGGAAGATGTATGGACCCTTCTCTTTCATCAACGTATCCTACGGAAGAGAGAAAATCGGGGAAGGACATAGTCTAAAGAACGATGTTGAAGTTGCTGTGTTGTCTGAGATAGTTGCCAACCTTTTCAGAGGTGAAACCATTTCTGATTCAGCTTGGTTGAATAAAGAATTTGTCAGATTATGATTTTCTGTGGTTTTAATATTACTGCAGTGTCAAAGAATCAAAGGAGACAGATCAGCGTCGGTGTTATTTCCCCTTACAAGGCTCAAGTATTCGCAATCCAAGAAAAGATTGGAGGGATGTATAGTAGTGATGATACTGGAGGCCTATTCACTCTGAATATTCGGTCTGTTGATGGGTTTCAAGGGGGTGAAGAGGATATTATTATAATCTCAACTGTTCGGTCTAACGGGAAAGGCACAGTTGGTTTCCTTTCGGACCGACAGAGAACAAATGTAGCTCTCACCCGGGCAAGGTGTTTATACAGATCTTGATTCTTTGGTCATTGCGAGCGGATTATGTTGTGTCCTTAACATAATCTTTGTAGGTTTTGCTTATGGATACTTGGTAACGAGGCAACTTTGACGAATAGCAAATCCGTGTGGACGAAGCTAATTGAGGATGCCAAAGAACGACATTGTTTTCACGATGCCAAAGACGATAAATCTTTGGTCCAAGCTATGGCAAGAGCAACCATTGATCTCAACCAGTTTCAAAAGCTACAGAACAAGAAATTATTCTTGTTCAACTCTTCTAAATGGAAGGTTTTCTGATTTCTACTCTTATCGAATCGTTTTTGTCTCAACATTACACCGTTCATCCGATACTATAGTTCTGTCCTTTTTTGGTATTGGAAACAGGTCTGCTTCAGCGAAGAGTTACCAAAATCTCTGAAAACTGTTATGGACTGTGAAATTTACAGTAAAATCATGAAACTGTTGGAGAGGATATCGCAGGGTCGGTTTCAATGTCAGTCTGAGAGGGACAGTTTGGTTTCATCTTTCGAGATTCTGAAACAAGACGAGATCGACGATGTTCTAAGCCTCGTCTGGGCGGTGGACTTCATTAAGGAGGGCTTACACTACGTCCAAATCTTGAAGGTCTGGGAGGTCTTGCCACAGTCCAAAGTTCCTCGAGCTGTACAGCGTTTAGACAAATACTATTCCAGATACACAAAAGTCGAGATATTACGATGCACATCAAGACTTACTCGAGGGTGAGTAACTCAACTTGCATTATTTCTTCGTTTTGCAACTGATTCAAACGTGGAACGTTCATCCGTCTTTTTTTTTTTGCTGGACAGGAACTTAGTCTTACCTATGAGATGGCCGGTTGCAGAAACTGGTTCTTTACACGGAAATGGATCCGGTGATCTCTTATTGAGCGACGTTACGAGATCATTTGCATCTTTGAATTTGAAGGGTGAAACAATCGTCCCGAAACCGTCCAAGTAAGTCTGGAAAAGAAAGTCTTTTTAATTAAATCTTTCGAATAAGCGAAGACAGATTCAGGATGGTGATCTCATTTTCGAGCTTTGGTTGCTTTGTAACACTGTAAAAAAACGTGTTGTGTGCTCGTTTTCGATTACTCAGGAGACATTGGAAGCTGAAGAAGAAGAAGAAGGGTACTAACACTAAGAGTCTATCAAATCTCAAGGCACCTCGTAAATAAACTGCTGAGTCTACGGCGTCCATGGTATTTTGTCGTTTTGATGAATGTTGGGTATTTTGCAAAACTTGTATAATCACATTTGGACATTGCATATAACCTAAGATCTGCTCGAACTTATACAGGTTGGTAATGTTGCAAGTGGACGAATAGCAACGATGGAGAAGTTTTGGAAACTCGATGCGATATTTTGTATTATTTCCATTCTGTCACTACGAGGCGATATTTTGTTTGTGAAACTTTGACATTCGCCGCCACCACGACGATATTTGGCAGATAGCTTGGATCGCAAGTAACCATAGGAAAGTTGGGCTTGACAATTTTCTAAATGTTGCTTGCAATTCAAGCTATTTCCCTACTGAAAATCGTGTTCAGACATGATTTTAAATGCAGGTTAGAAAGCTGCTGCACCTTTGATATTATCCATCTTGCCTGACCAAACATTATTATATAAACCAGTGAAATGAACAATTCGATTTTTTTATAATCCCCCTTTTTTTTACATATTAGAGTAGAAAACCTTAGAGTGGAAGAAAAAAAGACTAAACAAATTAAACGACGACGTAGACAGACGAGAATAAAGGATTAAAACCAGAAGAAAATCACACCAAAACCTAAAAAAAAAAACAGACGAACCGGCAAAAGCTATATCTTAAGAGCTGAGGAATGAATCGACCTTTGTGTTGGTAGAGCTCGACAAGAACTTCATGCAGATCGGAGGCTTGACGCCTGCCAGTGCCAGAACCGAGCTGGGCAACGTCCAGATGCCTTCTCCGCATATCAAACCCGACGCCACGGCCGGGCCGAACGCATCCGCCTTCGGCTTGTTCAGCTTCCTCCATACGAACAGTATGAGGCTTCCAACGCACATGTCGATGGTAAAGTACCCTCCGATGTAGAAAGGAATCGCCATCGCCATCGGGAGAGGTATAAACCGAGCCCATTTCGGCCCAACCGCGTCTCTTACCCCGTTAACGATGACCGCTGCCGCGAAGAAAACGTAGCATAGCATGAGGCAGTGTTTGGGCAAAGCCGAGAAGCCTTCGACTCCGAGTATGGACATGTTTCTGTATACGAGCGCGTATGGAGCCGGGTAGGATGATCCGGACTGTCCGAAATCGCCGAATGCGTTGTAGAAGAGCCAGAAGACGCAAGGCGAGATCACACATCCCATCGCTGTTCCGATGAATTGACTGATGAACATCGATCTCGGAGAAGCCAGTGTCATGTAACCTGTCTTGAAGTCCTGCATCAGGTCAGAAGCTGTGGAGACAATGTTCATCATAACACCGCAGGCAGCGAGTCCAGCTAGAACCCCTCCGTGGGAGGCACCAGCCCACGCTCCAATGGTGAAAATCGCGAGTTTTCCATAGGTAGAGGCTAGTGACCAATCAGTGAGTCCGCACCCGTAAGCGTTGCAAAAGGCTAGGACCGGGGCAATCACGTACATCACGAGGATGTGGTACCATCTGAGCTGTGGGAAGATATGGGGAAGAGCAAAGATGGAGATCACGGCCAAGATTATGTACCCGCAGACTGCGAACCATGCCGGGATCCCATCCTTGAGGAAGAGCTCGGTTCTTCGCTTGTCGTCATAAGAAACTACGGCGAAAGAGGGAGATCGGTCATTGACTGGAAGGACATCTCTGTTCTGGAACTGCTTGTATAGACCGAAAATAGTGCGGCCGAGGACCTTGACGAAGTTGTAGAGACCGTCACCGAGGATCATAGCAATGGCTATAAAGACCTGCATCGATATGAAATGCACGATTAGATTGTAATTTATTGGCTTCAAAAGGCTGGGAAAGTGTGGAAAAGAAGCTATACCTTGTAACCTTGAAGCCCATGGAGACTACTTGAAGAGATATCAGCAGAATACCATTTCCCTTTCTGGGCACCTATCAAAGGCCACATAACACCCCACGAGAGGATCGATCCCACGAGAAGAGATACGTTGATCAAATACGGGCAAATCATCCCGACACCAACATAAGTAGCCGAGAAATCAAAGTAGAACCTGTTTCATCAAACAAAAGATGCAAATTTTGAATTCTGAATCAAAAAGTAACATGAGAATTTGGTAGAGTTTGCAACTGAAATACACATACTTGTTTGCATAAGCTTCGAGACCAAACGTGGGGAAGGATGCAAAACCACAGTCATCACCAGCAGTGAAGAACCACTGGAAGAAACCCCACAAGAAACTGAAAGAGAAGAACTTCCCCAACGCTCTGACTTGTTTCCTGCAAGGATAACGACTTTTCAGTGATCCATCCGATCCAATGATATAATAAACTCTAGAGTGATGGGTTCATTGGCTTACTTTGCTAACTTTGCACCTTGAGGGGTGTGGAAGCTGTTGATGAGATGAGCAGTAGCTGTACCACTTGGATATATCAACTTGAAGTCAACAATCATGATCTGGGGGAACAAAGATTGATGATGTTCATCAAGTGACAGTTTTGCATCATCTCGCTTGTTGTAATGAACTGGAGGAATCAGAGGGTGAAGAATGTACCTTTCGGAGAGGGACAACCGAGAAAAGACCAAGAAAGCTAACAACGAAGAGAAACCCAATCATCCATCCCAACTGCGGGTTCTTTATGTTCATTACAGAATTGGCTTCTGCTGACTGTTTGGCAACAATGTCACTCATTCCGAATAGGTAACTTCCAAAGCCACCTGTGTTCATCATCCATGTTCTTTGTTAGTCATGGTTAGAAACATGGAGCTCAACAAATATGACGACAAATTCAGCACTCGAACTAGCAAAATCTGGCGGCTTCATTGTTCAAAATGGCCCAGAATTCGGAAGTTGGCAACTTGCTTTCCCTAATAGACTTATAATTAGCCTAATTAAAAGATTAATTAGCTCGAACTCTGTTAATTGATTGGATTAGAATATACTGTCAAGTACATTAAACCCACTTAAGATTTCTGGATCTCGCCAGCTCTTTCTTCCCTTCTCACACACGTGCCCAACAAGTCAACTTGTATTAGCGCTAATAACCTCAATCCTAAAATTCTAAGAAACGAATCATGTGAAGGATTCATCGAACCTTATTTTATTGATTCCAGTAAAAAGATTTATATATATATATATATTATATTCTAGCCGCATGCAGATGCAAAGTCAAAGTCAAATTGCAATGCATATCTGGCGAGACGATGGAGAAGATGACAGCTAAGTTGACTAACAAGTTCACACAGTCTAATAATAATAATAATAATAATAATAATTATTATTATTATTATTATTAAATAAATTAACTAAACGTCTATAATTAGATCTCCTAATATATCGCCGAAATCATATCCTGAAACGGATTGGGTTGAACAAATCATCATCCCCAAAAAAAAACAAACAAATCAGATTAGTTTTTTTAAATGCAACAAAAAAAATTTAACTTTCTCTTTGAAACTAATCAAATAATGCAACGCATCAATTGGTCAATGTGAATATCCCTATTCTACCGCTCACACTACTCTTTGACGTGGCCATCGTAACAGATCCAACTTCAATTAGCCTTTTTCTTTTCTTTTCTAACAAATAATTCCACTTAATATATTCAAATCAAAATTTTACATTTATATTCTAGAATATACAATTTGTCGCGTGTATCCCTCAACTACAAGTCTATGTTCTTAATTTTTACATTTAAAAATCAAGGAAAAGAATTTCCAGAGGATAAATGAATCAATGGGCACATTTTACAATGTAAGCACACAACTCCGAAACGATACTAGAAACAGAATCGTAAAATCCAACCAGAAATATGTATAAGACAATCGCCATGTGATAGAATATATATATATATATATATATATATATAAGAAAGTCCAACGGATCACGGGTTCTTCGTCTATCCTTTTCTAAAGAATCTCGGAGGGGAAAAGTAATTTTGGAACTTTTGCCATGAATGGAAAATACGTCAAGGGAAAGATGCAGAGGTGAGAGAGTAACTGTGTAAATTTGCCAATTTGGTCACATGTCATGCATCAATGACATTGCGGTGCTTCATTGACGCGTTTACTACTTTACTTGTAACTAATCACGTAACTAATTAATTTACATAATACAGCAGCTAACGTTTAACGATTAATCTTCAATATTTCCATATTTGAATTTGATTAGATCACAGTTAACCAAAAAAAAAAGAATTTGATTAGATCCGAAATTCATGAGTTCGAAATCAGAGCCACGTTTCATGATTTGTATCTAAATCTATGAATTCAAAAAAAACAACAGAGCCACTCTCCATGAATTCACTCTGACAAACGAATCGAAGCAAAAGCCAAAAGGGAACGAAAACGTACCGCTGAAGGCGATGCCGGAGGAAGCGACGACGCAGGTCTGAATCACGGTGTTCTCCTGCCTGGTGAAGGGCTGTTTGAGGAACCCAGCCTTGTGGAGAAGCTTCGTCCACGTCTTGACGAAGAAGAAACCGAGGAGACCGGCGGAGATGTTGAGCGACGGGATGATTCCGGTGGTGAGATTCAGCTTCATCACCACGAACGTGAAGAGGATCGAGAGTACGAAACTCACGACCATAGCACGTATCGTCAACTGGTGGTGCCACGGCGGAGGAGCCTCCCCGCTCGCCTCGAAAATCCTCTCGACAGATGTCTCCTCCGGCGATCCATCCCCCCTCGCCGCCGCATTGAACTCGTCATCCTTCTTACTCTGATCGATCTCCATCGCCATCGATTCGTATCTGACCTCTGAAATTGATTCTCGCTCTCTCTCGCTTTCGCTCTCTCTCGCTCTCGCTCTCTATGCTTATATAGGGGAAGAGTTCCACCAAAAAGCAAATAAGCCCACTAAAACTGGGATGAGCACAAAGCTGGCGTTCCCGAAAGTCTCGTTCACAGTGGGGAATTAGTTTTACATTGTAAAAAAAAAAAAAATTTAATTAGTTTCACATTCTAAACTTAAATTTATTTAAACTTAAATTATATATTCCACCTACGCAAAAAAACTAAATATACATGTATACACGTGTACGCTACCTTATTTTTAGCTTTATAATATTTGCATGAATTTTAGAATTATTTTGTGTGGTTTTTAATTTTAATTAATATATGGAAAGATTCGAATTTTTAGTTATTATCTTGTATGTTTCTAATTTTAATTATTATGTTTATCGATTATGAATTTGATTAAAATAATAAAACTAAATCTTTACCATATTTTAGAAAAGCGAAAGGAAAAAAATGCTTATATGCAGATATATATGGACATGGTGTTGAAGTAATCTTATTAGTATTCGTCTTTTAATTCAAGTTGAATACATATATCGTGTGGTCGTAGACTCTTAGTTGACGTTTCCTAATTAAACATTAATTTTGTAAAAAAGATAATTGGCGGATAAATCTCATTAGATATAAATCAACAACGGATTTTTAATTTTTATCGCACCAAGATTTTGTTAGTTCACAATATTTAATTAAACTAAATCTTAAATTTGGAATTAATCAATTAATTTAGAGTTAATTAGGGTATTTTATATCAAAAATATTTTTCACACTCTCTATCCACTCATGAAATTATGGAAGGATTATCCATTTAATTTAATATATATATATATATATATACTTATTGATGCATCCAAAAAAATGTATTATTGATAAGAACGATTGAAACAAATACAAAAATAAAGACATAAAAAAAACCAAAACTATTTCTTTCAAATTTCATTGTGGTCATACTTATCATTGTACAACATTTATTTTATATAATTTAATTATAGCAAGAGAATATCTTATGTTTAAAGTGTACTATAAATTTAATTTATCATAAAGGTATTCAACTTATGATGAAGAATGTGATACCTTATTTACCATTTAAAACAAATTATGGTATCCCGCATTTTATTTAAAACAATAATTACATTATCATACACAGTCTCGGGTCCACGTTGCACTAAAGTACATATGCCCACTTTTTCATAAGGCAATTGACTTATTATTAGTGGCTAATTATGGGTCAACCAAAACTCGTAATAATGAAATATTTGTATATTATATTAATTACGCTTTTCATGTTCACATTAATAGTGCGATTATGAAATTGCGGTGGGACCGAAAGGAAAATGTATCCAACTCCGAAATTAAATATTCATTAAAGAAATGGACGATTCTATTTAAATTATTCCGGCCGGAAGTAAATAGAGAGATTTGATTATATCTACCAATCATTTCATTTCTATAATCTTAATGATTTTAATTGCATGGTCGTTAGAAGATTATATTAATGTTTAATGTATAACTTATACATACACATTTTGATGGCAAAATGAAAACGTTTTAAATTTCCCAAAACATGTGTAGATTATTTTTTTAGTTTCAGATTATTGTCTTAATTTTAAATCATATAATATTTAATATCTCAGTGATATCACTATTGATTACATTGGTTCACGTCTCTACAATTCAAATCTTATTAAGAGTATTTACGAAGATAAATACCATTTTTAATATCTCGAACTTAATTCCGGTTATTTATTAATACACCAAACTAAAAAAAAAATTAAAAGATAAACTAGGGTTAAATATGTCGTCATATAAAGCTAAGGGGCATATGTGAGTAAAAAGAAGGAAATGAGGGACGTCATAATATTTATAGTTTATTTTAACGTATTAAATTCTTCTTCTTCTCCGAAACTTCTGGTAGGTTGTTTATTTGTTGATCGAATCAGAAGAAGAAGAAGACAAAGCAGAAGAAAGTCTGACAATGGCTTCCTCAGCTTTCCTCCGCCTCGCGATCGTTATAGGGTTTCTCGCGATCTCCTCCGCGGCAGCACGGCCTTGCAAGACATTCCTCATCTCTTCCTACGCCTTCTCCATAACCCCAGAAAACCTTAACCCTAACTCCGACGGCGAGCCCGATTTCTCCTCCACCAGATTCGTCACCGTATTCACCATCCGCCGATTCACTCCCCGCCATCTCCGTCCCTTCCTCGTCCACCGCCGCGACGACGGTGGAGGCTTCCTCCCCTCCGCCTTCCTAGGGTCGTCATCGGAGTCTCGGCCCCAATTCTCCATCCCTTCCATCTCGCACATCAATTCCTTCAGAGATCGAACAAGGGACATCCTCAGCGTTGTCGTCGCTCTCCTCTTCGGCGTCGGTTGCGGTGCCCTCACCGCCGCGACGATGTACCTCGTCTGGGCTCTCGTCTCGAACCGCCGTAGCTACAACTTCGAGGATGAGGATTACGAGACCGATGGGTACGATGATGCGAGCCCTAAGAAGATGGGTTACGTCAAGATCCCTGGCCCTGCTCCTGTGAAGGAGGCTGCTTGAAAGGTGCTCTTAATCTGAGGTGAAAACATACAAAACCCCAAATTTCTTCCGTGGATTGGGTTTCTGCATATCCTGCGATCGTCTCTTTGCTTTCACGTTTTCGTTTGTGTATGTTGCGACGTAACAGTAAACCTATGTCCCTTATGGATTCATGTAATCCAAATATACAGAAATATTTGTACTTTATGAAGTGTGGATTACTGGATTTACATTGTTGTTGTGCAAGTATGCTCATTTTATATGTACTGATGTATTTGGTAATGCTGATAGTTCTCAAAGAGTTACTGATGATAATTTTGCCCATGTGTTTGGTTTCCATGGTTTGCTCATGTGAACCTTTTTGTGTGCATCAACAAGGTAAGATCTTTTGCAATGAGATATGTCAGCTGTCTTATCAAATGCTTAAGGTGGTGACTGTATGTACGGAATCCTTCGTTCACAAGTGGGCGGGAAGAATATGTAAAGTTCGCAAATGGGGGTCTAATTGATTTGCCTTTGTATATGGATTTAGGGGGGTTGATGGGTCTCCGGCCTATGATCTGAGATCTCTGTAAAATGTGTAGTTCTTGCTTATTGTCCTTCACTTCCTTGATGTACTGTTAAACGGGAGGGGTAGTTAGTTGGTTCTTGGTTCTTGTGATAGTAAGTTAGTAACTGGGTATGCTTACATATGAGATGCCATTATAGGCCTTGTAGATGTTTGTTTCTTCCACATCTGCATTAAGAACTTGATGGTGGTTAGTTCCATGGCAAATGGGTATCAAAAGATTTCTCTGTTAGAAGAACAAATGGAATTCTGTTGTCAATTGTATTGTACTGAGAAGGGGGAGATTTCTCTTGCAATCCCCATGTTTTGCTGTCATGAGTTCAGTGATTTTGTCATGGAATGAAATGATCCTGACCAAGTGAAAAGTAAGCTGATGCTGATGTTTTCTGCATGGGGAACCAGTGTTAAACATGGTCTCTTCCTCGGCCTTGACTGACATTGTTTCACGATCTTCTCCCATCATTCATTCATGTTGTCATACTATTTCCATGAGACCACCAAAGCGTCTCATACATGTACGTACAACCGTGACAAAAGGTGCTGAATATAAACTAGAAATGGTGAGGAAATGTTACAAAGGGAGCAGCATTGTGTTACACAACAATTATGATAAAAACAAAGGTAAAGACAGAGCAGCAAATACCACTAGGGTCTTGTCTCCATTCACGTCCCAAATGAGATGAGAGAAGAAGAAGAAGAAGAAGAAGAAGCAAAAGACTTATGCATCATAATAGAAGGAAACTAAAGAGTGAAGCAGAGCATCAGTGATGGTTGGGGTTCTGCAGGAAGGATCCATCGCCTTGTTGCCCCATCTTCTGCACATCTTCTGGAGATAGTATCTTTATGTACCACACATTATTCACAAATGACCTGCAATTTTTCCAAACCCATATCACCATTTTCTCAGTTTTTTTTTTCTTGCTTTCCCGGGTCGAAACCACATACCCGAAATCCCACGGGTGAATCCGAAGGCAGATGGACGTAATAGGAAAAAGAAAAAGATATAAAGGGAGGTAACTTACTCCCAAGGGTCATCGCCAAGGAGAAGAATATCATTCTCCTTGTCCACAAATACAAGCTGCCAGCCTGATCTAAGGGGGTCTTCCAACAACCCCTCTATTCCAAACATCTTTCCCAACTCTTCCCGCAGCTCGTTATAGCTGCTGAATCGAGATATGTCCAGTGACCGCCCCACCGATCCAGATTTATACACCTGCATTCCCGTATATACGTATGTATAATCTTACCACCCTTATCGTTATACCAAAGTCGCGAAAAAACAAAAGTTGCAGAACAAGCCTACCTTAACGAAGTTCTTGATCTGGTTGGACGCGTTAATGTCCCCAGCCCCATGTAGCAACTCAGGAGCATCTTGCATGCAGCTGTATAAGGAATTCTGGAATCCAGAATCCGTCAGTGACATTGAAGAAGCATCAGCTTCCGCCGCTGGCAGTGGAGCGTAACGGGGAACAGTAGTGGGGAGAAAGAGTCCAGAGTCGGAATCAACACCAAAGATAGAGGGACTGTGGGGATTTGGGTTGGAATTTCCGAGTTCCAGAGCAGTGCCTTTCCTGGCATATCCTTGCTGAAGCGGCAACGGCTCAGAAAAAGCGTTGGCTGCAGAGTGAGCATGTTTAGGAGACCATGCCTGAGATGGCAACTGCTCGGCCAGTAAAGGCTGACCCGTTATCGAGAAACTCAAAAGATTGCTACCGTCACCGGAACCTGAAGCCGGGGCCGCTGAATTCTGTTGTATCGGGGTGACTGTTGTAGCAAATTTGTGGTTTGAGTCTGTAAAATCCGCTTTCATGAATGAAGCAGAAGGCAAATCTGACGGCTGCCACTGTTGGAGATGGCCGTTTTGCATTTTGAGAGCATTCAGATAAGCGTGGTTAGGTTGATGCGGTTGCCCGGCTGGTTGGTTACTAACTTCTTGTCGGATAGTTTGATGGGGAATATTCTCGGTCAGCATCTGGCGGGTTTGAGCCTCAAGGAGATGCCGTGGAAGCTGCTGTTGCTGCTGTTGAAGTAGCAAATCTGAATTGTGGCCACCTGATTGTTGAAGATATTGATGGTGAGGCTCTTCTTGCAGCTGGACGAATGGTTGTTGCCTCAGGGGATCTCCACCACTCATATTCTGCAACCCGGCAGCCAACATCGCTTGGTACTGCTGATTATGATCGGTAGCTCCAAGTAGACCGAGATCCAGCCTCTGTTGCATCCATGGAACCATACCCACAGACGAGAAATTCAGAGGAAGCAAACCTTGCTCTCCAGCTCCACCCCTAAGCCATGATAGTCCACTCGTCAGATCACCTCTGCTATCTGTATCATCACAGCAGTAATCATGTAAATAACTTGAGCGTAGCAAAAGCGGGATGCCTTCACAACAAAAGATGTGCGGCATCTGAGCTATCGGCACACTGTACAATTAGAACCAGAGGATTCAGTTCACGGCGAACATCATCATTGTTTTGAAGTAGGACACTTTAAGATTTCTCCATCTTCTACATATTCATGCTCTACTAACACCAGATCAAATTTTTTAATGGTCTAATCTACAAATGTTTGTCTAACAGATGGTGACATTTGGGTAAAGGGTAATAGAAATTGTAACAACGGATAATAGAAGGTGGATGGATACCGTGGAGGGATGATGGTCCAGCATGCCAAGGACGCTTCAACCTGAGGGGAAACAGTGAAGGGTACATGGGAAATGTGGTAAGAGGCTCAATCTCCCATAGAGAAACTCTTGGCTGTCTCTCCCCAGCGGTTGACTCGTCCCAACCAACCTACAGCAAGAATATCTGGATTTTCAATGTCCATGGAGTTTCAAATGAATATGTACATCGGAAAGCAAGGCATTCATTATACATGTCACAAACAGTCATCAAACATGTAGCGAGCGGTCACGAGTTCCATGAACTATAGAAACTTAATAACCAGACATACTAAGTCAGATCGGCTTAGTCGACTTCAAAGAAAAGGGAGGAATACGTAATCAGATTCCTTCATATCAAACACAAGAATAATGGAGTAGTTACCTTCACGGACCGCCAATGAGAGTTTGGCCAACGAACAGGATCCAAATCACTGATACCAGTTATCGTACCCATGTACCTGGACAATATGAAATCATTTTCAGAAGATGGGTTGACATTATATGGGCGATATAGTGAATGAACTTTCTCAGCCTCAGCAAGTTGATAAAAACTTCAAAATGGCATTTAAAAAGGTGATGTGACTTTACCTGCGAACACTTGACTCTTCTGTTTCAAAGAGCATGCGAAAGCGCATTCCAACTGAAATACGCGTGTGAAAAACAGCTTTAATGTACTTTGAAAGCGGTATGACAAAGTCAGATGGGCTAGCCCTGAACATGAAAAATAACATAGGTAAGAGATTTATTAGATTGTGAGAAGAATAAGCACTTGGAATGTGTTCAACCTTGGATGGTAGAAAACAGTGAAACAGCTATTTGTTGAGGCAGCATGTGCAGCAGCAGCAAGGAGTCCAATATGCATGCTATCACTAGATAGAACGGATGACGGTATAATGGTTTGTGGTCGAATGGCACGACGAATGCCCAAAAGGAGTTGATTCTTTTCATTCCTGCCCAAAAATGAGTGAGGGTAAAGATTGTAACTAAAAATCTGCAAGACCGAAAGGTATGACCACTCAAATAGAAAACCTGATGAAAATAACAGAATCTCCAGCAACTAGACGCTTGGCACTGACAAAGACGCTCCATCCAGTAGTAAGAAGATGCCGTTTAGGCTGTCCTGCAAAAGAGTGAGAAAACACGCCATAACCATGGTAAAACCTTAGTGCCTTTAGCTTGATTGTGCAGAATATGAAACACACCATAACCATGTTGGTGATTTCTGCCAGAAACTCTTGTTTTTCCCTCTAAATTCAGAAAGCTCTAAGTTTCTTCAAAATGTCCAGGAAACCTTTGGATAGTAATCTTATAATGATCTGATTGTTACATGCCTTACGGTCAGACTATTCTTCTAAAAGTCCAAGCCATGCATCAAAAGATTATGCAGACCGAAAACCAATAAAGACATACTCCACAGTTAAATGAAATTAATATAGCTGCTAATGCAAAGATCAAGTTCAACAATATAGAACAGTTCTATGCTCTTAAAGGTCAGCAGAAAGGACAAACTTACCCCGGAAGATATGCCTAAACTTCCATTCAACATCATGGAGATCCTTTGCGAGCAATTCTTGGGCGGGTGGCTGCTGTGAGTAATCCTGCATAAGGGAAACAAGAAAGCAAGATTTCACAGCAAGTAACACATCTAAGCATATTGATTTTTAACCGAGTTAGCATAAGAAGAGCAACTACCAATGGAGGAAAAACTTTCTCAGCAGCGCGCCTAGGAACAGAAAATCCTCCATGCGTACTGGTATCACTAGCCGTCAACGTCTTGCAGAAGTAATTGCTGGGTTGCTTACTTGGGATTCCCAGTTCGATCGGTATAAATGTTTCCTTCTGCTCTTCCTTTAATGAAAACAATACGGAACAATCAACTTCTCCTAGATTATTTCACTTGCCAACCTCTTTTTCAGTCCACGAAAACTTAAAGTCATATATATACCGGTGTCAATGGCTGGAGCGTCATCTGAGCATACACTTCGTCCGTCTCCACATCAGCCTGACAAGTACAAAATCAACCCATACTCACATCGTAACATTTCAAAATGAATTCAGTTATGGAGAGAAAGAGACAGGGAACTAACTACGCACATGCATAGTAACATTATGGAGTTGGCTTATCAGCTGGGGTGGTAGGCTTGGATAATTGGGTATGTGACCATCAACTTCCTTATTAGTTGTAGCAGCAACCTACAAAGTACACTTGGACGTAAATGGAAATTCCACATGTAAACAGAAAAAAAGCTTCATAACTTTAGACTTCTTGCAAGTTCATGATAAGACACAACATCACCATAGACAATCAAGCAGAGAAGCTAAACCAAGAACAAGAAATTCACGAACAGAATTCTCCGGAAATCGATAAACCTGTTCACTGTGACCCTGTGGGAAGTAGACAACACGGCTTCCAGAAGATGGAAGAGAAACCAGTGGTCCAGCACAAGCATGCCATAGCTCAGAGTTCAGACACTTATTTTCCCCTGTTGGAAAAAAAAACCCACAGAACTAGGAGACTTCAGAGAAACCGCCAAGATGACGCACTCCATCGGTAAAAGTCGCCAATTTGAATAAGAATCAGAGATCGAAGATTAGTATAAAGAAAGAAAAAAAAAACAATAAAACTGGAAGCAAAAGAAAAACCCCATGAGAGGACAATGGATAAACCTTCATGACCCTGGTGACCCAACCCAGAAGCTGAAAGCTTCATGTCAGAGAAGGTAAACCCAAATTTTCCTTTTCAGAAACCAAGTACTAAGCCGACATTAGCAAAACCCTAATTTCCGTACAATCACTCTCTCACTTCCAGCTACTACAGAAGCTATACATCTTCTGCTCCAACACCACAAGCTCGTCCTTCTCCATCTCTTATACCCTCTTCAATTTCACACCATTTTCCCACCATAAAATCAGAGGAAACCTTCCAGAAAACCAGCGAGAAAGCCCCAGAAAATACGAAACCGACCAGAACCCATTTCTCAGAACCCCAATCCAGCTCTTCTCGAAATCAAAGAACGAACAACACAAGCCCTACGGGTAGACACGGGAACTTGAGCTGCAAGAACTCCTCAGTAAACCCAGAAGCAGAATCCACAGAAGCCGAAACTTTGCTAAAGATGTCTTAGTGGAGAGGAAGAAGGAAGAAGATAAGGAAAATCCGCCTCAGTTCGCTTTCCGTGGCATTAAAATCGCTCGGAGCAGTTCCGTCGCTGTCTTGGAGAGACATATTGGCTTTCAAACAGCAGAGAGAGAAAGTTAGAGAGAGAAAGAGATATGCCAGAGAGTGAGCGAGTGGTTTTGTTCTTATAAAAGATCCGACCCGATCCGAGTTGACCCGGTGGGAACCTGAGCACAGTGGAGAAGAAAGAGGAAGAAGAGAGGACGAGGGTCCTACTAACGAGAATTATGAGGGGTGGTGTCAGTAGCAGAGCGAGCCCGTTTTGACCGTTGGATTACGTTTGCAAGATCTTGACCGCAAAAAATAATATTTATTATTTCTAATTTAATATTTTTTAATCTCTTTGTTGTCCTTGGATTCTTTGAAAAGGACAGTAAAAATATATGTTTGGGTTACAAGAAAGAGCTTGCCATTAGTATTTTTCAATGGAATCGATGAAACCAAATAATATTTTGTATTCCTCAAGGAAAAAAAAATCCAAGTGAGATAAATTAGTAATTAATAGTTATGACTTAACATCAATTATTAGAAATGGGCACAAAATCAATATTTAATTATTTATTTTGGATTCATGAGATCTATCCAAGTTCCATTGGCATTCGAAGGATTCTCAAAGACGTTATTATAATCCACAAATACACAAATCTAACATGGGAAAATAAAACATAAAGATTAAAAAAATGTAGAAATGTAAAGTATTATATATATATATATATTGTTGCCCATTCTTTATTTTCCATGCTCACATATATAAATCAGTTTTGAGATCTAAATTGTAAAATTTCAAGCAATCATAATAACTCATGTTAATAAAATATTTTAAATTATTTAAGATTTGATGATTCAACCGGTAAGAAGAGAATAAAATTTTTTCTCAATCTGAATTCGAGTCTTCATTTGGAGAGAAATATTTATAAGGGTTTTTTTGTTTCCTTGAAAGATATAGATCTGCGAGTTTTCATTTAGAGAGAAACATTTACAAGGATTTTTCGATATTCTAAGAGATGTAATCAGACCAAATATCCGGTGAATTTTAAGGTTATCAATAAAAATATTCTGAAATACTCTCTGAAAAATCAGACTTAGTGTTGATAAATAATTTAAAGAGTGTTAGAGAAATGGGTGGCTTAGAATTACTCTATGCGAATTAGTTAATCATTATTCTATAAATATTTAGTTAGTTAATATTTAAATTATATTCCCTTTTTCTTTCTCCATGGGTCCATCAAAGCCTTAAATCGTGAATTACGTGTGTTTATGGTTTTTCACATATATTGTTAATAAATTTTCATTTCTTTTACTTATCCATTTGAGAGGATGCGATATACTTCATGAATATAATATTCCGTTATGCAAAATTACTTTTTTTTATCTTTATTGTGATTTACTATTTCAAGAATTTAAAAGGAAAAACTAATATATTCATTAGGGAAAAAAATATATTCTCCCTCTATAACAAAAACACAAAATGATATTGGAATTTTACGTTCGAATAATAAAAATTAGATGGAATGCTAAAAATTTATGGATCTAATTAAATCACAAATTTTATTTATTCTCACACTAAAAAGGGAAAATAGAACTTTTAACTGTGTTCGTTATATTTTTCAAAAAAATAATGTGTACAAACATGTTGGCTAAGGCCTATGGTCGTTTTGGACCAAACATCAAAGTACAATGTTGTGGGCTAAAAATTTATGTTTGTCTTATTAGAAGCTCTATGAGACCCACGACTCCACGAGCTATATGAAGCCCAAACACAAAAGTTAATTTTTTTTCAGTTTTATTATTTTAAAAAGTTGATGGATTTATGAAATTAAAGTGAGCACAATTGATTAACAATATACAAATCTGATTTTAAAATGGATTGGATATATTTTTTTTCAAGTTAATATGATTTAAATATCAATGAACAATATGATGCTTACGTTTGGACCGAGGAGATGATACCACTTGACCTCGGCATGTACGTATGTACGCACGTAGATGTACGTATGTACGATGTCAAAAATCCATATAATTACAAAAACATTTTATATATTTGCTAAGAAATATGAAGTTAATTTTAGTTATTTTATAAAATTCATATTCCCATATCCAATATCCAAAATGAACGGATATATAATCGGAATTAGAATCCTAAAGTTCGAAATATCAGGAATGCACCCGAGACACTTATATCATTCTCGATAATTTAATGTTTCTATCAAATGAAACTAATCAAACTTGTTAACCAAAAAAAAAAAAATGTTTCAACTGATTAGGATATGTCCTTTGAAATCAGTCATTGGTTATCCGTTTTGCTACTAATTATGACCAAATGTCCTATAACCTACGTCTAAAAACTTATCTCCCTCTCTCTCTCTCTATATATATATATATATATATTCTATTTATATGAATGAATTTAACTATAAATGTATAGTTTGTAAAGCATGTTTATACATTATCCAACACAACATAATAATGACCCAAAGATAATGTTTACAAGCATCTATGTCATATAAAGCATTGTATAAACCAAATAAACCGCCCCTGATATACGAAATGCCCATTGGCATGCATTATGCATATATGTATACGCACATAGTTACAAGTAGAAAAATATTTTAAACCGAGATTCCTCTCGTTGGCTGCCAAAAACACAGTACCAAACATGAATATAGCCGTTGGAGATTTGAATCAATGATTAAGAAAATTTGGGAAAAAAATATTAAAGAGAAATTTAATTATATGCCTTGAGAAAAGGGCAGACAAAAGTGGTCAGAAGGATTTAAGTGGTAAAAATATGGTATCGGCTGGGCTCTTCCATTCCACCGCCTAACGGTTGCAAATTTAAAAACATCACTTTGTTTTCCCCCTCACTTGAATGTCAAACCTTAATTCATATATAGTCGTAGATATAGGAAAATATTTGCGTGAATATTATTGATACATTTTTAAAGACGAAATTTTGAATTAATAAACTCTTTCCATGGAATAAAAGTCAATTTCACATCACTCCTATATTCTTCATAAATACTCATTCCTCCCCTTATATATTTTAATTTTCAGAAAAGACCCCTCCAGTAGATTGAGGTTTTTTAAATTAGTTAAGTTGTGGGGGTGAATCTGAATGTTTTTTGAAATCAAAGGGCTCGTGTCTCTCGCTGATCGCATTTAAAAAGTTTATTCTCAGAATTTCAAAGTTTGAATTTTTCGTCTTATCTCTTACAGAGAGACACACTTTCAAATATCACTGGTTCTGGTTCGATTTCTCTGTTCGATCCCATCTTCTTCGCGAAATGGGTTGTTGTATCAGCAAACAGGAGTCGTCATCTCCTTCTCCACCTTCGATTTCCCTCTCCAATGGCGGCCCTTGTTCAGCGAAAGCCCCAGATCTGAACAGAGTGGCCGTTAAATCCTTGAAACAGGAGATTGAGCCGTCTTCGGCGAAGCCTGGAGGCAGAGAAGAAAACCCCAAAATCGAGAAAGAGAAACAAAACGAAGAAATGCACGAAAACGGCAATGCGAAGAAGGAGGTGTTCGTGATTAAGCACCGGAAGAGCCACGAGAGGTCCAGGAAGACAGATCCGGCGGATTCGCCAGCTTCCGCGGCGGAGGAGAAGTCAGTAGATTCGAACCCGATCCCTCCGGCGGCAGCGGTCGTGAGGACTTCGAGCTGCACGAAGGAGGAAGTGGATGCGATACTGATACAGTGTGGGAGACTCAGCCGGAGCAATTCCTCCGCCGCCAAGGCGCGGAGGTATTCCGGGACGAAGAGAAGCTTCGATTTCGACCAGAACGAGCGTGGTCGCGGCGGCGATGCGGAGGAGGCCGATGCCGAGGACGCCGGAGAAGACGACGAAGAGCGGCGGATTCACCGCCATCGCCACCGCGGCTCCCCTTCCCCGCGCGAGAGGAGGAGACGAACTCCGAGCAGAGAGAGGGAAGATTCCAAGAGTCACCGGTCGGGAAGTAGGGAGAGAGGGACCGGCGGAGGAAGCCGGCGGGTGAGCAGATCTCCGGGAAGAAGATCGGAGATAAACCCTATTCCTAATCCCAATAACGGCGGGACCAGTGGCAGCTCTGTAAATTCGGGCAACAATAGACCCGGAAAGTTAGTCTCCGTTCCAGCGACTGACAAGACATCCTTGGCGATGGACAAGAGCTACAACGGGGAACCGTCGATTAAGCGGATAACGGTGAAGAGGAACGTCGGAGAAGGTCCAAGAACCGCGGCATCGCCGAGGTCGCAGTCGCCGTCGAGAGCTGCGGGAAACAATCCTCAGCCTCCGGCGGCGGGGGCGGCACCGTCGCTCAGCCGGAGCTCCTCGAGGAAGGCGGAGCATTCTCCGTATAGGAGGAACCCACTGGGAGAGGTAGACCCGAATTCTTTGGCTTGTCCTCCATCATCGAAAGGGGACAAGATGGGTAACAAGAAGACGATGAACAAAGACAACGAAGGTCAAGGATCAGCCAAAGAATCTGGAAACTTCGTGGGTCAGGTAGATTTCTGCAGTTTCCTTGAGATACAGATTCATCTTGAACTTGTTGAAAGGTAGAAGCTTGTTGGGTTACATTTGTCTGAAATCTTACTAGATGAGTGTGAATCATGCATCAAGATCTTCAAAAGCTTGAAAATTTCACTATATTGATAACATTGGAGAGAATGAGAGCCTGTAATGTTGTTGTTGCAGAAATCGAATACAAGAATTGCTGGCCAAGTCACGAATTGCAGAGCTGCGAGCCCGAGTCGAGTGACCAAACAGCGGCAAGAAACAGCAGAAGAGTGTAAGGTAACATCTTCTGGTGTAGAACAGGCGAAACCACAAGCGGTAAGCAGAAGCAGATCGTCGAGACAATCTCGGGACTTCGATTTCAGCCCCGAGGCATTGCTATCAAACAATGGTGCAGGACCAGTGGCCTCCTCGTACACTGCATTGCTACTGGAAGACATTCATAACTTCCACCAGAAGAGTGTCAATGTCAATGTCAATGCGTTTACTCTCCCACCTTGTGTCACAAAGGCATGCTCGATCGTGGAAGCAGTGGCGGATCTCAACTCCACAACAAACACTAGCCCCGTTGTCAGTGATCAACACCAGAGGAACGAGTTCAAGTTCACGGCTTCTTCGGCCGTGGAGAAAGCCGATCTAATTGAGCCAAGCTTCGAGAAGTACGTGACAGTGAAGAGGGGCGGTTCATTGGAGGAGGACATGGACGAGCAAGAATCATCAGGCAGCAACAGCTTCACTGGAAGCAGCGGTCTGCTCCAGAGACAGGGATTCTCGTCTTCTTCATGGGAGCCCAATTCAGCAGATTCGACGGATCGATGGAGTTCGAGATCGAACAACACGAAAGAACGCGACAGGAGTCCACTAGGGTTCGAGAGGAAGGATGCGAATTTGCAGAAGCAAGAAGGATTTGATCCATTAAAGAAGGGCACTGGAAGGAGAAGGGGAGTTGTGGATTCTTCTTCTTCTTCGGCCAAAACCGGTGTTCTTCAGGCAACTACCACTCGTGTTGCTGCTTCCATGTAATAAAAGATTTGCTGTTGTTTTTCATGTTCTTTCGCCATGGTTGCTGTCTCGAAACCTGTGTTTTATTTCTCCTGTAATCTCTCCTCGATCATTTTAATCGGATATTCCTTTTTCCAGTTATATATTTTTTTTTCTCTTAATATCACTGATTTTGTTTTTTTTTGGTTCTACTGGTAGGAATTAGGGCTTGATTTGTGATTATAAATTCCAACCAGCTTTTAGAAAAATATAAATTAAATTCATTTGGTTTTAAAGTAATTCGGTTTGGTTATAGTTATAAAACATTTTATAACCTAACAATGACCAAACAAAAATTCGACTTGATTATTTATAATAATAAAGATAACGACAGACCAAAATGTGGAAGAATAAACTTCTTTGACGTAAAAAAATAGGTATATAATATATTCAAAAAATTAAACTGATTTACAAAGTAACTGTTCGGTTAATAACGGATCAAACAATCCTTGGACCGCCCGTGATTCAAACGGCAAAATGTTTATTTAATCTTGCAAATGTTGGAAAAAAATCTTTTCATGTAAAACCTTTCTTTTCAAAGAGACCTGCTTCTTCTTTTTCCCCCGCCGGAGAAAGAGGTATAGGGCTTAGGGGAGACTCGGAAAGCTCATCAAAAGCATCAATTTTTCTCTCGGCGAAAAACCAAGAAGAGGTAAATGCTATTTCTCTCGTTGCTTCTTTTACGAGCTTCAGAATTCCAAGAAACCCTCGATCACATCCCAAGAGACAACCTTTTCTCCTGTTCTTTTCTCGTTTCACTACTCTTACTTTGTCAAATTTCCGGGTTCAAGTTTGCTTTTTGGTAAAACTTTCTGGGTTCATTCAACTTCGGTAGAAGATTCCTCCGAGAGATTGATCTAAGAAGAATCGGTTTTGAATTGACGTTCTGGGGTTTTCTCGTTTTATACAACCCGAAATACCTACCAACCGTTCGATGAAATTTCTCTTTGAAGCGAAGAGATCCGTATCAATTTCTGAATTATCTTTCAGGTGGTATTTCGGTGCAGTGTTGTTGCTGTGGATACACTCTTAAAATGTCGACAGGCATTGGACTCGAGTCTCTTGTTGATCGTAAGTTGTCCTTCAACTGAACCAAAAGTCGTGCACTTGGGTTTACGTCTTGATACCATTTTCCACACTCTTTTGACTGAAATTGATTTCTTGGGCGATTGGAGAGACGATTTCGGTAATCACGAATGATGGACGCAACATCGTGGTACATTGCTTTTTCGGGTATTATATGTTTTCAACTCCGTATAACAGAGCTGCAAATACGTTAATCCAGTGATTTGCTGGTGTTTGGTTTTGCAGGGTGTACTCAAAGGTTTTGATCAGGCTACAAATATCATCCTTGATGAATCTCATGAGCGCGTCTTTTCCACCAAGGTATATCCTCCGAAGTTTACAGATATATGGATAAATTCCAGGTTTAATGTGTTAGATCCGCTGTTGTTTATGAAAACCGGTGTGCGTGTTTTCTTTCTTGGTAGATTTTCTGAACTACCTGCGTAAATGGGATTATGGGAGAGTGGTAGATAGAGACATAAGTGACCTCTGAGTGGACACTGGACAAATGTATAACTGATAGTGTGAGCTAGTGATACGCAGATGGAAAGTTTTCTTTTTCTTTCTCTTTACCGTTTGCCAGATTAGGGATTCGAATGAAAGTACGAGAACGTAGTTTGCGAGATATGAAGCTAGTAGTAAATCTTTGATCCGAAAACAAATGACGAAATGTTATAGTTTATGGCTGAAACACTTGTATCAGATCCCTCTCTGATTGAACATTGTGGGTATATATATTAAGGCAAATTGCTGGAAGGATAAGATGATATGCCGGCAAAAGTTTCACAGCAAGTGTCAGTTACTCAATCGATATTGTGCAGGGTTTAATGACATGTGAAGCTCCTTTTCCTTTCAAAAGGATGCTGATTTTTGAAAGAGGAGATCACAAGGTCATGTTGATACAGTGCTACAGTCGATGTCCTTGTAAAAAAATGGTATTTTTAATGGCTTGACTTTTAGCAGAAAAAGCTGTTAGTTTGAAGGTGAGCCTGTGAGGTAGACTCTATTGAAAGATGGATACTTGGCATTAAATCTACAGAAAACTTGCTCACCGTAAAGTTCTATCAGTTCCACCTTGGAAGGGATTGGGATCTCAAAGAATTATGTATATGTTTAGTTTCCAGGCTCTGGTGGCATTGGTCATGTTACGAGCTCCTGTAGTAGTATTTTATCCTGACAGATGATTTGAAGGCAAAATAATGTGTAGAGACGATATTTTCTGATCGATCGATGATTTTCATTCATGTTCTGTGAATTCAAACACAAAGTACAATCATTGAACTTATTGTACATTCTAGAATCAAGCTGCTCAAGTGTTTGATCAAGCTTGGTGACTCTATCTCTTTGCACCTCAACTTTGTTTTCCACTGTCCCACCTAAAGTTTCAATCTCTGTATCCACCTTTGGGGGTTTAGATCTTCATGTGTTGGTTTCAACTTGTCTTTGTTTTCAGGAAGGAGTGCAGCAACTTGTCTTGGGTTTGTACATCATCAGAGGCGACAACATGTATTTTCATGCTCTGTCTTATGATCTTTTATCTTATGACATAATGATCCGTCGCTTATAAATCACAACGATCTTTACGGGTACGTACATTCGTTTCTCGCCATGTCTGTTTCTCCAGAAGCGTTATCGGGGAGCTGGATGAGGAGCTTGATGCTAGTCTGGATTTCTCAAAGCTTAGAGCTCATCCTCTGAAGCCTGTTGTCCATTGACTGGTAACAAAGTTCATGTGGTTATCAAACATGTGATATTATTGCATATGGGAAAGCCAAGTGAACAGAAGAGTGACAGTTTGTTTGTTTGAAATCCTATAGCTTTGTGAATCCTAGAGACTAGTGGATTGATTTAGATTACAACAAATGACCATCCCATGTTAGGTCCAAGATCTGTTTCAAGAATGTTTTTACAGAAATTAAAATAGGGAAATTATTTTCTCAATCAAATTTGATTTGTATGACCATGTCCTGTCATATGAATGCACCAGCAGCAGCACTATCACCTAATATCCAGACAGCAGCTAGCGTCCGTGTATTGTTGATTGACTGATCGAACGGTCACGATCACGTGGCAGAAATAAGTGAAAAACAAAGGAAAATTCAGAAAACACGTTTGCAAATGAAAATAAAAAAATTAAACATTTAGTATTCGTTATTAAATTATCGATCCTCTGTCTAATTATTCTCTTTAAAATATTTTATATCAGAAACAAATCCATAAATTATTCCTCAAGTTCGATCAAAAACATAAACTTTCAACAAAAGGGTTTCGAAAAATCAACACTTTTCAACTCTCTATCATGTCCGATCACCAGAAGATCCACCCCGTGAACGACCCTGAAGCCCCGCCACATCCGACGGCTCCTCTTGTGCCACGTGGCGCCTCCAGGAACTCCGGCAGAGAATCTCCGCTGCAGCCGAAGAAGAGGAAGAGGAGATGTTGTTGCCGTTGCGTGTGTTACACGCTCTGTGTTCTCTTGCTTCTAGTTTTTCTTCTCGGGGCATTGGCTGCGATTCTCTACCTTGTGTTTCAACCGAAGATACCGGTTTATTCCGTCGACCGGTTAGAGCTCATCCGGTTTACGCTTAACCAGGACTCGGGGTCATCCGCCACGTTCAATGTGACTATCACGGCCAAAAATCCGAACGATAAGATCGGGATTTTCTATGAAGATGGAAGCAAGATCAGTGTATGGCACATGCAAACCAAACTCAGCGAAGGTATGTCAAAAACATTCGGTTTGCTCCGGTTCTGGTTTGGCACGGTTCTTTAAATTGTAAATTGGATAACAAGAACCGGGCTCTTTTGTTTGATTTTTGGTTCATCTCGGTTTTAGTTTAAACCGAAGCCAATCCCGGTATTTCCCACGATTAAATGCAGTTCGTATTCTTTTGCAGGATCGTTGCCCAAATTTTACCAGGGGTACAAAAATACGACGGTTTTATACATAAAAATGACAGGGCAATGGGAGGATACGACCGGTTTAATGACAACAATGCAACGACAAGAACTCGAAACGGGGAATATACCGTTGCGGATTAGGGTTAACCAACCGGTTAAGGTCAAAGTCGGAAAATTGAAATTGATGGAAGTGAGGTTTTTGGTTAGGTGTGGGGTTGCAGTGAATAGCTTGCCTCCTAGCAATTGTATTAGGATTCAAAGTAGTAGCTGCAAATTTAGTCTTGGGTTATAATTCCTTTGTTAATTAAATAATAACCATTTTTACTGTAATTTTTTTTTACAGTTTAACACATTCCTTTAATTCCTCCTCTCTTGTTGTTTTTTTTTTCAAGTTAATTAGTCTTTTGGAGCACATGCTCTCTTGTATCATTAATAGCAGTTATTTTGAAGAATATTTCTTTTAAATGATTTTTCATGTGAATCATGCATGCTAGGGATTCACTATTGGAGATCCTAAATTAATTAAGTGACAAACATGTTTTTTTTTTAAAGAATTTGAGAAATTTCATTGTTAAAAGTAAATTATTTTTTGAAATCATTTATATCATTTTTTTCGCAATAAGTAAATAAAAAAAAGAGGTTGAGTTGGATCTTGCATATCATTATTGATATCCAATGTCTATGATAAAATTAAATCTAGAATTCAAATTTCATCAAATGGAACCGATAATTAACCCAAAAGATGGATGAAAAGCATATATTAGCACAAGGAAGATTTCACAACTTTGATCTTCTGAAGGCAGAGATGAGCCCTTTCGAGAGCCAAATCAACTCTGTCTTTTCTCTTTGTAATAACCTTTTGAGCCATTTTGAAGGATGAGACTTGGCTTCCACGTTTGTTCATGCCCTTTCCCTTCTTCCTCGTTTCTTCCTTGCTTTTGCAATTCGATGATTCTGTCCCAAGTTATAAAAAAAAAACATTTTATTTCATAAAGCTACGTGGATTAATAAGAAACGTTATATTAATTCCAAATTCCATTTGGTTAACTGCTTGACAAGTTGAATGCTTATTAGCCATTATAACATTATGGATTGATTTAATTTTAGTTTAAAACAAAATTGTCATGAGACATTTTGATCAATAGATTGAGATGTGTTTTTTTAGTGGTTTTGGGGCTAGAAAAATGTTAAAAATTAGAATATAGTTTGTATCAAAAATTAAACTTTTATCACGTGGGTTTTATGGGATTTTATTAATATATATATATATATAAGGTGGAAAATAAATATAAAAAAAAAGGGGGCATGAAAACCGAACCCAATTGAAATTAAAATTGGGGCAGTGAAATGAAATGATTATACTATTTGCTTTTACGTCTTGTCACATTCATTTCAATTTGACTGCTAACTTCGGGAAGTGATCCATGAGCCAAAATGACCTCGTTTGTCTTGAGAAAACAACAACGGCTACATTTTGGGCAATTTTATTTATAAAAAGACAATATATATATACACACACACACACCACACCTATACCGAATATGAAACATTTATAGTTTCATTATCCAAATGAACGGTCCAAAAATACATCGAAAACGAAACTAGATGCTTGTAAGATTTTTTTCTTGAATATTCCGCACCATACCAAAAAATCTGAAGTATGGTTTCTGCCAATGCATGCATGGACACGTAAAAATAATTTGCAATCTGTCATTTTCCCGTTCAAACTTTTGATACGACCAAAAAGTTGCAATATGATTTGTAACACACAACTCTCTCTTTGCTCTTTCTCTCTCTATATGTATATACGTGTATATATATATATCAAGTTAAGAAGAAGAGGAAGAAGAAGAACGTACCTTGAGTGAGTACGACGGCATCGCCGGAGGAGGGAAGAGACGGCGGCGCGTGGAGTTCACGGAGGAGGATCTCAAGCTCAGATTTCAGATAGTGGAATCTGTTTGGGTGATGGGTTTGGAGGATCTCGAGTTCCTCTTTCGCACTTTCCATAAGCTCCCACGATGAAATCATCCATTCCCCCATTTTCACTCACACACACACACACATATATATATATATGTGCAGTGTATGTACAGTTTGAAACAGTGTGTAAATGTCTGCAGAAGACACGGAAGAGTCTCTCTCTTTTGTTGGGTTCCTCACCCTGGTGGGAGACAAAACGTCTCGCTCCTGTCGTGCCTTTTTAACATCGTTGTAACACTAACCAAGACCGCCTTATCTATACTTATATCCAATAATTTCTTTTTTTTACCTTTATTTAAACAATATTTTATTAATCATAAATCATACTGAAATTTATTAAATGCAATCTGTCCGAATCTATAATTTAATTCAATTCGATAACCACTCAAATGCGGAAAAGATACATCCATGTGTATGTAGGAGAAACAAATCGTACCGGATCGGTCCACGGTTTGGGTATCGAGATAACCGAATCAGACCGGTCGTACATTATTCTAGTCGGGTCCTTCCACGATCGAGAAACAACCTTCTGAAAAAAAAAAGAGAGAAAAGTTAAGAAAGTTTCTGCGTGCGTGCACCGAGGAAAAACCCTAGTTCCCAAATTCGATTCGCAGAACAACGCTATCGAAAAGAACTCAAACTTCCCAGTTTTCTTTCATCTTCTTTTGTTGCTCTGACGCAGTTAAATCTGCGTCGAAAGCACTCTCCTAAAGCTTATCAAACCCGTATGTTCCTCCCTCTGTTTCCGCCTTTTTACATTTTTTTTCCTCTTTGAAATCTTAATAGGAAGTGATTTCGGTATCTGTACCAATGGGTATGTTGCACTGCCCATATGTAATCTGTCGGTGATTTTTTTTGGTGGTGGATCGCAGCAAGTTTCGTCATGTCTTGGTGCACAATCGAGTCGGATCCTGGTACGTGTTTTGTCTCCCTGAATCGGTTAGTTGCTTTAGCGTGGGCTTGTGCAATGGGAGAATGGAACTGGGTTGATGCTGAAATTGATTTTCATTGCGTTAAGGGTTGAGATAGCTGAGCTCGAATTTGAAGTTTTTGACGTTCATGCTAGTTTCTGTGCTATACCTCTCGCCCGTTTCATGAAAATGCGTGAAATTGATGTATAAAGTTACGTTTTTTTGGGTAATGTTGAGGTTGTGTGGAAACTGAGAATCAGGAGCATCGGATGGAATCAATATGAATGTGTTTACAGCTATATATTCAACTTGAAAGATTAGCTATCTGCCTTTTATACTGGAGTGTGGCTTCAAATCACTAGGATTTTCTGTTGGTGGCGTGATTGATAGAATTATTAAGAATAGATTAGTGTTGGGCCTTGGAGTTCAAATCTAGTAATTAGCTTGTGAATTTCAGCTATTCTTTCAACTGAAGAGGGAAAAGAATGGGGGCGGCGGGTAATCATGCTACGAGATTTCTAGTTCAGATCATGTTGGTATTTGATCCGAGATTCTGGATATGTTAACTGTATTCAGTTTTCGGCGGGTTATTTTACCACTGATATCTTTTAAGTCACTTATGAGGATCCCTTTCCTTACCTTTGAGTTAGGCTGTTGCCATCTATTTCAGTTTTTTTGTTTTCTTATGGTTATCTCTGTGCATGCTCAGGTGTATTTACGGAGCTTATACAGCAAATGCAGGTCAAGGGAGTGCAGGTATTACTCTTACATCACATCATATGCAGTTTGGTTTTCTTGCTTTTCCACATTACAAAGATATACTCTCCTTGTTGGCTGCGCAAGATTGTGAATCGAGTTAGCTGATATATGAACGTTGTGTGTATGACATATGACACACGCAAATAAATTCTTGTGCTGGATGTATGTGAGAGTGAAGGTAGGTTTCGGTTAATAGGAGAGAAGTACATTTGTTTAGTAAATGGATAAACTTTACAGTGCATCTCTATCTGCCACTTAAATCAGGGTATAGATGCACCCGGATTAGGAATTATGTATAACTAGAAAGTCTAAGTCTTGGTTATTGGTTGAACTTTTTCATCACAGTCATAAGAATTTTTGGAGTTCCCATGATATAGATGCAACCGAATCCATCTTGATTCCTTCATCTTCCTAAACATTCATTGAAATAAACATTATTTTTGTCATTTTTTTGTAGGTTGAAGAGCTGTATTCCCTAGATCTTGATTCTCTCAATAATCTTAGGTAAATAGTTCCCTCCATAGTTATTTTATTTTAACGTCGTACTTCTCAAAGTTCTCCCACAAATACTGCAGGTCTTTCTGCACTTATTTGTATGCCAATCTCACCCTAATCTCTGTTTTGGAACTATATGTTATTGGTGTTTAGACCTGTATATGGTTTGGTTTTTCTTTTCAAATGGCGTGCTGGGGAGAAAGATGATCGTCCAACTATCAAGGATACCTATCCTAACTTATTTTTTGCGAGCCAGGTAGGTTTTGACATCCCGATGTTTTATTTATTTTTATTGAAAGTCTTTTCCTTTCACTCATTGTAACAAAGGTTTTTTTTTCTTTCATAGGTCATTAATAATGCTTGTGCAACTCAAGCAATCCTGTCCATCCTTTTGAACTCACCAGAGGTCGATATCGGTCCAGAACTATCACAACTGAAAGAATTCACCAAGAACTTCCCGCCCGAGCTAAAGGGTTTGGCTATCAATAACAGTGAAGCCATTAGGACTGCTCACAACAGTTTTGCGAGGCCTGAACCTTTTGTCCCGGAGGAACAAAAGGCCGCTACCAAAGACGACGACGTGTACCATTTCATTAGCTATATACCCGTTGATGGAGTACTATATGAGCTTGATGGGCTCAAAGAAGGGCCTATTAGTCTTGGTCCATGCCCTGGTGGCCAAGACGGAATCGAGTGGCTCCAAATGGTCCAGCCCGTGATCCAAGAACGGATCGAGAGGTATTCCCAGAATGAGATCAGGTTCAACCTTCTGGCCGTCATCAAGAACAGGAAAGACATCTACACTGCCGAGCTCAAGGAGCTCCAGAGGCAGAGAGAACATATCTTGCAGCAATTGTCTGCTTCAGGCAAAAACAGGACGGAAGCTTTGGAAATGACTCTTGCAGAAGTGAACAACAGGATCGAAGCAGTAACAGAGAAGATAATAATGGAGGAAGAGAAGTTCAAGAAATGGAAAACGGAGAACATACGCAGGAAACACAACTACATCCCGTTTCTGTTCAACTTTCTGAAACTTCTAGCGGAGAAGAAGCAGTTGAAACCGCTGATTGAAAAGGCGAAACAGCAGAAGATGGGAAGCTCCAGCTGAGTTGTTGGCAATGGCACCTTTAGATTTTTCCGACAGTGACTGTTTTTTTTTTTTACACTGGTTTAATTGTGAATTTGTCCATTTGAAGGTTTGCCATCTTTTCTGTATTTTTAGTTCTTAAACATCAAAAGATGATTCACTAGGAGATTTTTTTTCTTGTTTTGTTTTCTGAATAATCACAAAAATGGCATTGCTATTATATTTTTTTATCATATTATAAAATTTTCCTGAAAAATCCAAAATAAACATAATTTATAAATCCGGCATAACACTTCCATGAGGAAATTTTATGAATTTGCAAGTATTACAACAAAGTCCAACCCCCTTTGGATTTTGTAGAGATCACTTGCGAAATGAACGGAATTCAAGCGGCGCAAGCCACCGATTCAGTCGCGGTGTTTTGTTCACTCAGCAAGTCACTGGACATTGAGGACGGTATTCTATGGCGTTTCAAGATCCGAGAAGTGGCGATTTTCGCGAAAGGATAATTCAGGACGATCACCCTCTCGTCGTCTAAGTCCAGCCTCAGATTCTCGTCGCTGCATTTCTCTATTAACTGGCAAAGATGCCTCAGGTTGTCCACTTCGACTCCGTTCACTTTCTTCACCTGTTTCACCACATACATACACGTAAAGATGACAGATATGGGTTGAATCGATAAGAGGGTTGGCGTTATTTTGCAAAATTCACAAGCTTATTTAAGATAAGCGAAGTTATATTACCTGTAACTCGGCAAGACGCTCGTATCCTGTGTTAATGTCATCCATTAGCACCTATTCACAGAGATTGGATTATCAGTGATACTCACAAAGTATCATTAACCAACGTTATTTGTCGTTAGCTGTTTCGTAAAACCTGGATTCATGGAAAGTTTGAACCTCAAAGAGACAAAAGCCATGATAAGAGCAAACCTGAGAAAGGATGACAAGTTGTTCACCGGCCTTTTTGGGCAAGTCTCTTAAAGCGCGCTCACACAATCTGCGGGGTGAGCTGTTGTACCAATCTTCTCCATATTCATGAAGGTATGGTTGAGTGAGCGGCACAAAGACAAATCCGGCAAATATGTAGTAACTTGGAAGTGTGTCAAATTGATGCACTGGAACCAGTGGTTGCAGCTGCATACAGAAAGGAACAAGAACCGAGGATTAGAAAAGAAAGATGTATGCTATGATCAAACCAAGACATCAGTAGAAAACCAGATGATGACTTACGGGTTTTAAACTGATAATGAATTCATGTTCCGTTCCATCCCTCAAGACTTTAACTAATGCAGTCTCATTTGGCTTCTTCATGGACACCAAATGATCAAAAGTAATCCTCTCCCTGTTCCGAAAAGGAACTGCATTGAAAGCAAAGGTACATACATTTAACTTCACCAGAGAGATCATACCGAAACACTCAGGTTCGGATGAAACAGATTAACAACGATCTCCTATTTACCTGTTCCATCATTGGCAATAGCAACACCATCAAATGCAAGAATGATGTCATCTTTTTTCAGAACTCTATGAGCATCCGACAAAGGGTTTATTTTGCTGATAAGAACCCCCGTCATTTCAACACTCATCTTGAAGTTATTACGGAGCTGAGCATTCTCCATAGGTTGACATGATATACCCAGTGAACAGAAACCAACATATTTCCCACTTTCTTCGACTCCAGAAATGAAATGTTTAATTACTGGAACTGGAATGATATAACTGCAGATGAAAGCCATGTAGCAAAATGGTTGGTAACCTTGGTTTGCAATCACAAGCAGTATCAAATATGCAGTACATAAATCTTATGGTAAAAAAAGTTTCAGAAAGCCAGAGTTATACTTTTTTGGCCAAAACAAGTAAACTTGACTGAAGTAAATTCATATAATTTGTTATCCCCTCTCTCCAGAAGGCCAAATTGCCTATCTGGACGCCTATGCAAATGAAGAGATTATAAAAAAAGTGACAATTCTCACTTACCCTATATTCTCAGCACCTGAGAGATTTTGAAACGCTACACCAGCAACCTTGTTTCCCATGATTGCTGGGCCACCACTATTTCCAGGGTTTATAGCTGCATCTATTTGTATTGCCATTAACTGTGTGGCACCATGAACATATTGTGTAGGTTCAACCCTTGACACAACACCTTTTGTGACGGAAATATTGTCACCACCTGCACTAAAGCTCATACCATGAAATGCAAGCTGGTAGGTTCGCTATTGCTACTACGATTCTCCACAAACCTCAGCATCCGCACATTCACATAGCAAATATTCCCAAAGTACGAGTCATGATGCTCTGTCAAAGTAACGTGATAATTACTCTCTTCTCATGACCTTGGACAACGCCATCAATCCCACACAAGAACAATGAGACTATAAGCATCCATTCACCCAAAGATGCTTCATCAAACTGATCAAACTACATCACAAACAATAAGCTTCTCATAGTTCATATGAATTATGCACTACCAGAGTTAATCCACCTCAAGACAATCGATATCCACACACAAGAGCTTAAGCCTACATGAACGACACTTAATATTTTCTGTTTCACCCTTCATGTTACTCTATCTCTACATCATTCGATAATACTCGTAATAGCACATAATGTGTCATAAACATGTATGTACCTTGAGGATAGCCAACTACGGCGACAGCCTCCTGCAGAAATGGTATGTCACCGAGCTCCAACGAGTTCATACCCTCCCAAAACTCTTTGTTATCGATCACCAAGATGGCTAAATCACATTCATGACCAACCGCTTGAACTTCTGCTCTATATTTGGTAGGTGATCCATGCTTTCTGACAAGCACGAACGTGTGATCAGCCACCACATGAGCATTCGTAAGAATCTTTCTTCCGGGAATTACAAATCCTACATTAACGCCAGACTAAGATTCAAGTCCCAAACCAGACAACAAATAGTAGTGAATTACCCAAATTCCAGAATTTCTACAAAGACCCGCCAATCAATTCATGAAATTCTGCAATGGATCTAGACCACCAAACAGTTTTGTTCATGTAAAAATCTGAACTTTACAAAAGAATTCTATATAGAGAAGATAGATTGATCAATACCGGAGCCCATGGATTCTCTCTGTGACTTGTTCTGCCATGGAAGAGAATAGTTAGGGCTGCTTGAGACGGTGAAGATCTTCACCACAGAGTCCAACGCCAATTCTATAGCCGAATACGCCGTCTCCGCCGCTCCTACCACCGTCCTCCGCCGCGCCTTTCTCCTGCTCTTAACCAACCTCACCGTCGCCGGTGCCCGCGAAGGAAATCTCCTCAACTCGGATTCGGTGAATTCGCTCCTCAACTCATCCTCATTTCGCGAGCTCACACACACAGAAGAAGAACAACAGCGAGAAGCAGGAGCAGAGAAAGCAGAGCCGACGACGTTTCCCGTCGTTGCTCTACGCAACAGATTTCTCAGGCCGCCACTGGAACGATGGACAGAGGAAGGAGAAGATAGAAACGAAGAGCTCGCGGAGTTGCAGAGGCGCTCGACCGTACGGACCGATCGGAGCAGCATCGCGTTCGAAGTGGTGGTGGGAAGAAATTTGAGCGGCTAGGTTTAATTTCAGCGTTGTGTTGATTGAACCGAACCGACCGGTTTGATTTGGTTAAATTGACAATGCGTTTCTTTTGTAACCGAATGTTGAACCTAAAGCGATTTCGTCTTTTCTTTTTTTACGTTCTTTTTTATATTGCACTTCAGCCCCTACCTGATTTATAATTTTTCATGTATATCTCTAATTATCAAAAGTGAACTTTTAAGCCATTAGAAGCACAAAACTTATTTCCAACTAATTCATTACAGAAAATATGAGTTGACAAACAAAATTCATTGAAAACATGATAAACTAATTTCTAGATTTCATTCGATTGTTACGTGAGTTACATAAATTTGTTTGCATTATAATCAATGCATAATTAATTTTGATTTTCGGCATTCATATAAAATTATTACACATTTAATGCGATTGAAACAATTATACTACTTATTTATTAAAAAGAAAAACGTGAGTCAGGAAGTTATGATTAAATTGAGTTTATTTTTGTTGACAGAAGCATTCAGCGCACACACACACACATACATGTGTATATATATACACACACACACTCCTTGAACCCTAAGATGTAGATGCAGTTATTGCCATTGGTTGGGGTAAGTCATACTCTCTCTTTCATGTTTTGATCTCGCTCCAGTAATTTAATTAAATTTAATGGTAGTCTTATAATATAATGGATAATTATAACCGTGTTTATTTTTTTCCTGTAGATGAAATATGGATCAATAATAAAACACAGTTTCAATATTTCACTGGAAAAAACTATAAAAGAAAAAGGCATGAAACTTGAATCACAATCATATTAATTAGTTCATTATACAATTTAAATATTTCATTGGGCCGGGCATTTATTTGTTTCCATATATATAGATATGAAACAAATATTTATCAAAATATTAAAATTTGTCACTAAAATTAAGTATAAAAATAAGTTATCCTTTTTTATCAAACGTATCGTCCGGCCATGGTCACAGAACCGTATCCGAACACAAATATACAATCAATGGCCTATGACCCCTGTAAGGTATAAAACAAATTAGAAATCATAAATTATAATAATAATTAATAAATTAATAAAATAAAAAATAATCGCTATCTCAGTGAAGAAGAAAAAAATTCATTCAGTCAATAAATATTTTGGAATGCTTGTTTCTGAGTCGACTCGTTTCAATGATCTTTTTTTTTTTAATAATCTGAAAATTCACCGAGCCTTTGGTCCGACTACATTTCCCAGAAGACCGGGAAAGTCCAGGTGAATACCCCTCTCCACCATTGGTTTTGAACCCACTAGGTCATCCAAACTTGGATCATTTCAATGATCTTACATTATACCATGTAAAGTCTTTGTGTAGGCATATATTGACATTATATTAAACAAATGACTGTTATCACTTATATAATCCTTTGAATCACTAGCTTTACAACTAAAATATCCTTATATTTTTCATTTTTATTTCACATTATATGTTTTTTTAATTTTTAAAACGATAGTGCTTCACTGGGTCTCCAATAAAATATTTATCGATTCTAATTGTTCCATTTTTTTGTATTAATTTCTTGTTGACAAATACAATAACTCACCAATTCCAAAGAAAAAAGAGTAGTATTTCATTACAATAAATGTAACCACGGTTGTATATACATTAACATTGTCCGACCACTAGCATTGATGTTTCGTTATCGAACGCAAGAAGAAAAGGGTTATCGTTGATTTTTTCGCATCTCTAATATATAAATTTAATGCACCAAATACATCACCAATTTGTGTAAGTTTGCGCATATGGGCACTATATGGTGTATATGTATATATATATATGCAGATATATATATGTGAATGTATGATTATAAAGCCTTTTTATACGTGAACAGAAAGAACAAATTAAATTTTTTTTCAAAAAAATAAATAAATGAATGTGCATGTCGTCATCGGTACAATACAACGATGTGAGAGAGAGAGTAAAACACTGGCGAAGCATTTAAGAAGAACCATCATTGCAAAAGTACGTCATCATTGTCATGCATAACTATGTCTTTTTTTTATAATTTATTATTTAAATTTTTTCATAGATTATTATTAATATATCGTTGTGGTAAAAATCAGATTACAAAGTGTATATATTTGACTACGTCGTTCAAATCAGGAGTGTGTTTCTGCATGATGTGATATGAGCGTAAAGCAAAAGCAGTTGCTGCTGCTGTCTTCTTTCATTATCGATCTCGAGATCCTACTTCTAATTTAGTGCCACTTTACAGTTTTGTCACATTGTCGATTTTTTATTTTTTTAAAAAAATCGATTTCAAAATTAACGCCATTATACCATTTTGCAATTTGTGTATATATATATATATACATATATATATATATATATATATATATATATATATATGTTTTATACGTATATATGATATTTTTTTTTTCTAAAAATCATGCATATGTCACATATATCATAATAGCAACTAATATCTCAAAAAGTTATAATTTTCACAAGTATTCACCTGTCATATAATTTTTTGGATTGACATATTTATTACTGCTTTTAAATGATAGGATGATATATAAATATATATGACAATCATATTGTCAACTCGAATTCAATCATTTGGTATTAACATAAACACGTATAAATATATATATATATATATATATACACGTAGTAAACAATTGCAGAAAAATAATAATAATAGCAAATACATTTGAAAATATAGAAAAGGATTGGGAAATTCGATGGAGAAATTAATTAAAGAAAAAACAAACGGCATTAAATGAGATTGATCTCTCCATCTCAAATGACATATCCTCAGCCATATCTGCCATTATATATATACATATGTACGTATATATATATATAATTTATTATATTAAAACCTCACCCACCACTTCTCTCCTTGCCATCTCGTCTCTTTTGTCCTTTTCTCATAAGTCTCTTTGGTCTTCTTCTTTTAGGAAACCCTTCTTGCTTAACAGTTCCCCATCTGCTCCTTACCATATCGAGATTTGCATTTAATTATCGCCTACCTCTATATCTAGCACAAAATGGGTCAATTATTAGTGTGTATATATTCCATGTCACATCTATTCACCATATATTCAATATATCAGTACACGTATATATATACATATATTTTTATTAATTTATGTAAGGTTCAAGTCATAACCGATCAATAGTTGAATTGAGTATACTTAATTAGGGTTTCTAACAGCCTTGTGTTTTGATGTAGCCACTCACATATTTCCCTTCTAACATATAACAAAGTTTCTTTTGTGATTACAATATGAAATATTCCATTTATCTTCTCAATCATTACCGGCATTTTATTTTGTGGACTTTGTTTTATGTCACAAGAAACATGGATGCATGTCTCTCATGGTAAGTGGCGTGGCAGACGGGCTTTGTTGTTGTCCGACCATGGCAGTGGACTATAGAGATCTTAGATCCCATATATATACATATATATATTTATACACACTTATATATAATAAATCTTATAATTAAATTGAGTTCGAACACGAGCAAATGCGTAAAACTAGCTGTTGCAGAGACTGTTTGGAGGAAAAAAGAGGAAGAATTGGTCGGAAAATTACAAAAGGGGATTTGGATCTTTTCGTAATGCAAAATGTCCCACGAACTAATTATGCTGTATCTGCGAAGGGACTAGAAGATAAGTACATACACATTTGGCAACATCCCATACCACTAATATATATATATACACACATGTATATGTATACACTTTTGATTGGTTAAATTAAATAGTTCGATACATAATTCCTTGTTTTTTTTTCTTTTCTCTTGAAAATATATATTGAAAGATTCTAAAAAGTTGATATATATATATATATATATATATATATATATATATATCCAATGAAATCGAACTACACATCTATTGATTTCCATATGATTTGTCCCCAAACCTACCTATCGGTCTCTATTGTACTTTGTTTACGCGCATGCATGCATGTGTGTATTGTGATGATGTTTTCGTGTATGTATGTATGTATGTAATTGTGTGGATTCAAAAATATTCATAATGCAACCATAACTATATTCATGATTTTCACGGGCATGGTGGTCCACCTACAATGTTGCATCTTCGGTTCTTCATTCGCTATCATGATTTCCTTAATGATAAAAAGCTATCATGACTATAAGCAGTATATATATATATATATATATATATAATTCATTAGACTTGAACGAATTTTTTTTTTTATCTCATTTATCTAATATAGACGTGTAAATTTAAAAGACAGTTTCCGGTTCCTTTCGAGGTATTACCATTCTTTTCCCTTATGTGGAAAAAATATAGTATTTGTTAAGAAAATAGTATTTTACCATATTACAAAAATTCAAGAAAATATCTATTTGATGCAACCGTGCGGGTGACAGGTGGCAAGACCATGTGGACACTTTACAAGTAATTTAGGGTTTCTTTAAAAGTACTCGAGAACTTAAAGGGATTTTGGTCAACACTGGAAATTGTCTCTCTCTCCTTTTTTAAATATTTTTTTATTACCTTAATAATTGTGATATTTAATGCTAATTTAATTAATTTATCATAATTTATATGATAAATGGATTAATGACAACATTAGCTGCATGCATGGTTACATAATCATTTCCGTATACTTTAAGGAAGTGAGATAATATCTTACTTTAATATCATCTTTGTACAACGTCACATTAAATAATAAATTCAAATATATATGAATTCGTTGTTTAGGCCGGTCAGAAATTTCGTCTAAATAGACAAGAAGACTTGAATGTCAAACCTTAATTCATATATAGTCGTAGATATAGGAAAATATTTGCGTGAATATTATTGATACATTTTTAAAGACGAAATTTTGAATTAATAAGCCAAAATAATCATAAATTATATTTATAGATAAAATCAAATCAAGTGTAAGTTTGGATTGGCAATATTTTGTCATAAATTAGAACTAAATTTCTATTAATATTTTGTCAATAAAGCTTCTATTGTAGTGGTAAGGTACAATGGAGAGGTTTCTGATTTTTTTTTAAAATTTTAAATTTTTTACTTCGTGATATAGAAATATTATGTTCACATTGGCCTCACTAAATAATTGAGTTCTCTAATTACTCGAAAGTACAACTTCTATAAACTCACCCCGGAATGAACATAACTATTTATTAATTGAGGTTGATTTTGTTAGTAATTGACATCATAACATCTAAAACTTAGACAAGATTAGCTACATATTACGGATGCTAATAATACGATAAAAAGAGACTAAACTAATTATATTTTATTGGAAATATATGTACACAATTAATATTATTTTTTCATTAATTTTATATGAATAAATTTAAATGATTAAAATTAATTTTTGTGACGCGGAAATCGCATGACCCAATGTTACTAATCTGATAAAATGCATTTCAAAGCGTATATAGAAATATTAGCAATTTGTGCTTAACGTGATTGATAATCACATGGTGGTTGTTAAATATGATATTCCTCGGTGAAATTATATATGTATACATATTTCAACTAGTGTATGCATGGTAATATTGACGTAATGCAATTACTGAAATTATATGATATTTCTAAGAAAAAAAATTAGGAACAATATATAACTGTCTATAGGCGAAGATTAATTTGTTAAATTTCAAATGATATACGAGAAATCACATTTACCGCCGGATAAAACTTGGAATGAAAATCTTATATTTGAGATTTAATAGGCAACACGGTGAGGAAAGTAAACACACAAAAAACAGCATATACATACACATATACATATACAGTACGGGTCGCCGCGCAAGAAGATAGATGCCGCTAAAGCCCTAACTATTGCAAATTCCAACATTGATGATGACAGTGTCTCAAAATTTCTAGGCAAGATTGAACCTTTTCTATAAAAAAAAAAATTAAAACACGAGAAGAAAGAAAATTTGTAATTTTCTTTATGTATATATATATATATGCATCTAAAAATTAAATCTACATTATTTAAACTAATTAGGTTTAATTGCCCATGAAGTTAATTTCAAAAGATGCCTCAAGGTTTTCTTGGTTGTATAGTTTAAAGGTTTATTTCTTACCATTAATTAAACGAAAACAAAGAAAGATCTAATCATGGTCCAGAAGATGAAAATAAGTACAAACGGCGACCCTATCATATGATATCATATAGAATATTAATTATAACAGATCACAATAATAATCAACTAAAAATAAAAAGCATAAGACTTAAAAACGTACCGTACGATTAATTTCACTTCAATATATAAACCAAGATCTTAATCTTGAAATCAAGAAGGGTCAACGGTGCGACGAACGTCATCTCCGGCCGCCGCACGCGGCTGCTGAAACTGCGTCGCGATCTGTCCGATCGCTAAAATCCCGGCGGGTGCGGTTGCCGTCGCGGCCGGGCGGTTGCGGTTGCCGTCGCGGCCGCGCCGTCGTAGTTGCTCCCACCGGAGTGATGATTATGATGATCAACAAATCCTCCAAAGACCTGCTCCCTAGGGAAAAACTGGTGATGATACTGGTGCGTAGCGGTTGCGTTGGCGTTGGCGTTGGCGTTTGTTCCGCCCCCTAGGAGGTTGATGCCGATGCTCTGGTGGAGGATTCCGAGGCTCTGGTACTTGGAGAGTTCGGATTTTGCGCAGCTGAGATCCATCTGAAGCTGACGGAGTTGGTGTTGAAGAAGCGATATGACGCCGACACAGCCGTAGACGGGGTCACGTAGACGCATATCGGCTTCGTAGGCGAGGGAGTTGACGGCGTCTTCACGCTGTGAAGGATGGAGCTCGTTGAGGAGTTTTGTCACGTTGCTTGCCCCAAAGACCTTGTGGACGTTGGCGAATTTCTGCGGCTGGTCGGGAGGGAAATACGGCGCGAAAACGCACTCCGGTTGGCATTTCCGGCGGAGGAACTTGCAGGCAGCGCATGGTGAGTTCGAAGATGATGACGCCATGTCTGTGTTTGATGACTTGGTTATGTTTTGACTGATTGATTTGATTTCTGGTTGAATAAAACAACATGCGAAAGAAGTAAGAGATGTTAACTGTTGTGTGAAAGAAGGGGTTATGGTTAGAAATCAAGATTAGGGTTTCTGTTTCTGGGGGGGGAGAGAAAGGGAAAAAAAAACAAAGATTATGGTATGGGAATTTTGATGTCTGTGAAAGCTATATCACTTACAAGTTTGTGGATTTTGATAGGGAAAAAATTTATGATGCTGATGGTGAAAGAGGGTTGGAGAATTTACCCAATTTAACTAAAAAAAAATTTTAAAAATCAAAGATTTGTATGATCTTGAGATCTAGAGACATATAATTGATTACCTGGTCGTGATGGAATATAAATCTTTGATTTTGGGATGAGAATCTGAACCTTATGGTTTCTTGCGTTTCTCTGTTCTTCGGCGAATCAAAAACAAGAGAGTTCCCCTTTGTTTCTTGACTTATTCGATGTCAAAGAAAAAGCTGCAGCAGGAGAAGAAGAAACTTGGTAATTAGAACTTTACCGTATGAGTTTCACACTATTTGTGTGTATACGTATGCTTATATATATGTATACATGTGTATGTTTATATGTATACATACACACTCACCCCAATACTCTTCTTAATGGAAGAATAATTAGAAGGTGGGTTCTTAGTCAAACTTCAACTTCTGCAAAGAAACATGAATAGATCACAAGACCTATAGATTCAAGACGTAGCTTTTGCTGAAAATTTTGTAACTTTGTATATACCTAGGGTTAAGTCTAATAAATTTTAAAAAATTAAAAAAATACGAAAAAAAGAGAGCAATATTTACCATCCATAGATCGAAATATTTACATCTTACCTGAAAATTCTTGTATAAATTTTATAGATACGGGATCAAATGGTTTTTTTATGAGAAACAAGGGAAAATAAAACAAAAAGAGCAAGGGATTGGATCTCGTGAAGATGTGACTTTTGGGTTTTGCTTCTCTCGATGGACCAAAACCAGATCTTGCTTGAATTTCATACAAAATATTTTAAAATAATACTCCAATAGAACCCATAGTATGTGTATATCATGATTATCGATGGAAACAAATCGAAATTGTTATTGGTTAAATACCAATCGACTAATAATAATTAACTGTTAAACTTACCACCGAAATTGCAATTATTGCAGCAATTTGAATTCCATGTGAAGGTGAGCGTTTCAAAGAACCAAGAGGGAGAAAGAGAGGCTGCCCTGATGAAAGAGAGGATCTTGGGATGAACCCTTGGACCCTAACATAGACTATAACAGTGTTATAGAAATAATAGTTCTGTGAATAATATAAATAAAATATAGAGAGAAAAAAAGAGTAATAATAATAATAATAGTAAAAAAAAAGAAAGAAGGAAATAATAATAATAATTGTGAAAAGGAGAGATGGGAAAGGAGTCTGGGCTCTGACTCTGACTCCCCTGATGGATCTTGGGATGAAGAATTTTTCTCTTTATATTCTTTATTCTTTTTGTCTTGGGATTTCCATACAGTAACAAAATATATATTTTTGTTTTATTATATATTATAATTATGATAAAACTATATGATATATATATATATGTACACTGTAGTGAAATGCACTGATCTGCTTGGAGGGTCTCGGTTTCTTCGGTCAAACCTTTTCTGTCCTTTCTTTATATGAATCCCACAGAAATCTTCTCAGCCTTTTTTCTTCTTCTCCAGAAATATAATATATATATATATATATATGTGTATATAAAAAAAGATTTGATGTATTTTTCAAAAAAGTTATAAATTCTAGAGTTTTTTATATGTTTTGTGTTGGATGGGTTTGGTGAAAGTAGAAAGGCTCATGCAAATATCGTCTCTATTTCTCCGTGAAGTATGAAAAACAAATGACAAAAAAAGGAAAGGAAAATGCAAAATATTATTATGATATATCAAAAGAATATAGAAAATATAGAGAGTGCATATAAAGATGATGATTAGAAGCTCCCCCTAAGCTTTAGGGAGAGAGAGAGAGAGAGAGAGAGAGACGCCCAGATGCAGAGGCTAAGGAGACGCGGAGAAAGAACAACTTTTATGCTGTGTAGAGAGAGATGTGATCATGGTGTATGTATGTATGTATATATCTATATACACATATTACACACACAAAGACACACGCATATACACTCGTGTCATGTCTCTGATATGTGTGTATGTATCAGTGCATGTATAGGTGGCTCACTACTAGTACTATCCCATCATAAAAATGCACACTTTTATCACGGAAACGAATTATCCTATTAATTAACCACCATATAAGAGGAAACCCTATATATATATATATATGATGTTTTATTTTAATATTGTGACATGCTCCAATCAATCATTTCCATAGAAAAAAAAAACATGGTTACCCTATTCTGTAATTATATATCTGTTTAAAATCCAAGCACAAAAATTGATGCATATAAAGTGATTATCCAAATATGCTAATCCAATTGGCTTCTTCTAACTATATGTCACTTAACAGATTCGAATTCTCATAGAATATATGTATATATACATACATACATATATATATATATATAGATTCACTCTTCACCGCTTGAACTCACCATGCAATATACATATGACTTAAGCTTATGGTTCTTGCAGAACTGAGAGAGAGAGAGAGAGAGAGAGAGAGAGAGAGAGAGAGAGAGCAAGTGGAGGTGGGATTGCAAGGTTGTAATTACTGTAGGGGGCAGAGCCTGCAACACTATTTACTCGAACAACAACCATTCCTTTTCTTTTATTACCAATCAAATTGTTTGAACCCCTCTCCTGTCTTTCTGTTCTTTGTCTTCTTCCCGGCTGTACGAGTTATAATATTTTGCTTTGCAGTATTACAATATGTGACCCTTTTACTTAATTATAAAAAATATCATTTTTTTTAATCGGACCAAACCCTTTCCAATTTCAAGTACGGCGTCGGCCATCACTAAATTCTATAGGGTCTTTTGAATTTTAATTGTGTAAAAGGGTTTCTCGAACAAAATTCAGAAATGAACAAACTTCGCATTTTCATGCTCTGATAGTAAATTTTTTTTAATAGGAGTATCTCTGTTTGATTTTGTTTTGGTTATTTTCGAATTTATGCTTTTTTATATAAAAAAATATATATATTAGTTTTTTATTTACGATTTTCAAGTATGCATGTATACATGAGAAGGGTGATTTACATATAAAAAAGTTATAGTATCAACGATTGATCTCTAACCAATAAAGATTTATATGTATTTTATTGGGTCTAAGAAGACTCTAAGGCCCTTTTTTTTTTGTAACGGTCTTTTTTTTGTTATAAAAAATATTGAAATGATTTGAAATCTTGAAGGAGGAGGCCCAAAAAAATCAGGAAGTCCACTAAGAAGCCCATCTGACTTTGTGGCCCAAATGAAATATTAATGGCTGATTATTCTTAAAACGTTACCGCTAATGCATTTCTTGTGAAATTATAATCACTAAATTTCATAGGTAATTGGAATTGTTTTCAGTATTCTTATCGTATTATATTGGTTGTCATATAAATTGCGTAGCAAGTTTGGACCATTATATTCTCATTATATAAATTCATCATTATTTTATTTAATTTTTCGTGGTCTTAATTGTTTATATAATTTGCGTTTAGACATGATCACATGCTAAGTACATAAACGAGTATAATTGAAAATATAATTTTTAATTCGATTTAATTGTTGGATATTTATGTAATTTTATGATTAGCAAAGCATGAAAAGACTTGTAAAAATAAAATAATAAGATTATATATATATATAAAGTCTTGACGATATCATTTTAAGGAACATAAATTAAATAGGTAAGAAAAGCAATAAAAAGGGGCTCATCACCATATCTAAATACTAAGAAGAATCCTAACATTTATTTGACCAAATATTTTATTTATTTATTTGCGGCTTTACAAATAAAATTGTTTGATGCAACTTAAAGAAAAAACAAATAAAAAAATGCAGTTACGTCATTAACCAAACCAATATTATAGAGAAAACTCAACATTTTATATTTTCTTAGTTATGATTTTATTTAATCAAATATCATACGTACCAAATAATCCAAAACAGATGGAAAAAATTAATATAAAAAAAAAAACTTTCTTCAAAGACATATATTCTCACATATTGTATTGTCTAAGTTGTATTAATTAGTTTTACTTTGACATTAAAGAAAGACAGCTGTTGTTTTTGATGAAACCACATCATCATCACATTGCATTTGGGTCTTATTTATTATATTTTGACAAATCATTTGATAATCGATTTTATCAGCCCATTTTTCGTCACATTGAGAAATAAATTTTAACAAAGCACATGTATTTTCTTTAACAAAAAATTCGGAGAAATTAATGAATTAATTAACTCTGAATGTTCAAGCTCTATTCTTATTCTCGTTAGTATAAAAACACACACTTTAAAAAAAAATTAAATTAGATGTTTAGCTCTTTTATCTTGAATCTAGATTTTTTTAAAGCCTTAACACAGCCGTTTAGTATTAGAACTTGTTGATATTGATTGATTAAATCCACTGTTTACAAATGTTTTCTTTTAAAATATTTTCATATTCATTGATTAATTTCACTATTTACAAATGTTTTTATTTAATCTTGAATTTTTTTCACGATAAATCTATATATACACAATTTGATATAATATTTTTATTTATCAACCAATGATCTTCAATAAATCCACTAGTTGTACCCTAAATTTGTGTTTTCTTGACAATTTATTTTCGTAAACATATATAAATCAATTTGTGTTGATATGTATAATATATAATATACTTTTACATTAAAGTCTACATCTAGAGTTGTATTAAAATAAAGAAGCACCTTCCCCATATCCTTAATCTCTAGTCAACTCTCTCTTTCCTCGTTCACCTCAACTAAGCAAATAAACCCCCCTTCATAAATATTTAATTTAACTTTTTTTCCCAAAAAAAAAATATATAATGCTGTTTTTCCTCAAATATCCTTATATATCTCTTTCACAATTCTCTCCTCCTCTCGACTTGTTCTTCATCGTCTCTCCATTCACGCCACCGTAACATTTGAATTAGGGTTTTGGTTCATTCCTATATGCATCCGGGAAACCTATGGGGAGGGACGCTGGACGCGGCGGACGGAGACAGAGCCGCCACCGCGGCGGAGGAGGAGCTCCGGCTGCGGGAAGCGGCGGAGTGGGACAGAGGGGCGATCCACTCGCAACGGCTCATGGGTGAGAGCCAAAGGTACCTGGACGAGACTCAGCAGAGCTGGTTGCTTTCGCCGCAAGAAACGTTGAGGAATAAGAAGAAGAAGAAGCACGTAAACCTAGGGTGCGTTTCCGTGAGCCGCAAGGCATTCCTCTGGACCGTCGGATCGATCGCCGTTGCTTTCGTCGTCGTCGGCCTTCCTATCATCGTCGCCAAGTCTTTGCCGCGTCACAAGTCTGCCCCTCCTCCGCCTGATAATTACACTCTTGCCCTCCACAAGGCTCTCCTCTTTTTCAATGCCCAGAAATGTGAGTTTTCCCTTCATTTATAGTTTTTGAATAATTATTACCGAAATGAATATATTTTTCTTCAGAAAATTAGATTTTTTAATTGAAATCAGAATCAGTATGTCAAGTTATAATTAATTAGTCGCAAGTATGCTTTAAAAATGCTAAAACTTGCGCGTTAGTTCTGTTCTACAAATCTTTTTGGTAATTTTTTTAAAATTTAAATTTCAAAAAAATATATTATTCAATTTTTTTTAAATAAAATGTAAATATTTATTTGTACAAAAGAAGATTACATGGATTTTTTGTCATTGTTTTGTATTAATTAGATTGTTTATCAATCTTGCTTCTCGAGTTCCAGTTCTTCCATTATTGTCTTTTACTACTCTACGCCAAAAAACTTTCTAGTTCCGAGATATATTCGTTTTTATTTTTATTTTAAAATATAAATTCAATTTTCAAACAGATAATACCCGATGGAAATAAATCGGTCGAAGACCTGATTTTTATTCAGCTCGGCTCTTTTATATAAATACGCAATTTTTATTTTTATTTTTTATATCCAAGAACATTAACATTCATGGATGCACGTCATGCTACCCCCTCGTCACGCGCATTGTTTTTTCTTTATATATATAAATCATGCGAAGTTGACAAATTGACTTTAGGAAGAAAACGGTTATTTAATGCTAATTTTGATATAAATGAAAAGAAAAATGATTAACTTGGTCGGTCAAATAATGGATGGTTTAATTTAAATTTATTGTTTTCTTCTTCCTACCTCTTTTGCTCAAGTTTCCCGCAAAAGGTTTGATATATTATAAAAAGCACCAACTCGAATTACACCGATATCCCAAAAACAAATATTAGAGATCAATTATATAATCAGGAACATGTGAAAATAAATATTCTTTCGCATATCATATTATAATGCTACATATTATAAGCTACAATGGTAATTTGGATTAATTAATAGTTTATTTAGTTAAAACTTAACTTGTCGTAGAATGTTGAGAATTACGAGAGATTACATAATATTAGAGTTTATATATTAATATATAATTGTCAATAATTAACAATACAGCGGGTAAACTGCCCAAGAACAATGGGATATCGTGGAGAGGGGACTCCGGGCTGAACGACGGGTCGGCGGAGGTGGCCGGAGGACTGGTCGGAGGGTACTACGACGGCGGAACGAACGTCAAATTCCATTTTCCGATGGCGTTTTCAATGACGATGCTGAGTTGGAGTCTGATTGAGTATAGCCACAAATTCAAAGCCATCAAAGAGTATGATCACGCGAGAGATCTCCTCAAATGGGGCACAGATTATCTTCTCCTCACTTTCAACAATTCCGCTGTTCAATTAGACAAAATCTACATTCAGGCAAGGCTTCCGTAACTGTTGCCTGTAAGAAAACTGCCGTAATTAGGGTTTTAAACCGAATTTTTCCACCGCAAGTCTTTCACAAACCCTAGATATTCATGATCACGATGCTGTCCTTGTATTACTCTTTCTTCTTGAATCTTGATTCATAATAACATATTTGAAATTGAAAACATATCCATTTCTCTGTCTGAATTCTTAGGTCGGTGGAGGTACGAGAGATTCAAGAACACCGGACGACATCTACTGTTGGCAGAAACCGGAAGATATGTCCTACGCACGTCCGGTTCTGTCCTCTGACGCTGCGACCGATCTCGCGGCCGAAATGGCTGCAGCCTTGGCCGCAGCCTCCATCGTCTTCCAGGACAAACCCGCCTACTCAAAAAAACTCGTAAAAGGAGCGGAAACCCTCTGGCCATTCGCGAGAAGCCGCTCTAGACGACGATCTTATTCCCGAGGGCAACCCGTGATCGAAGAGTTCTACAATTCGACGAGTATATATGACGAGTTCATGTGGGGAGGAGCCTGGTTGTACTATGCGACGGGGAATACGAACTATATCCAAGTGGCTACTGATCCTAGGTTGCCTACGACGGCGAGAGCTTTCTCGGGTCGGCCTGATTTGTTCGTACCGAGTTGGAACAACAAGTTGCCCGCGTCCATGTTGTTGATGACTCGGTACAGGATGTTCTTGAGTCCGGGTTATCCGTACGAGGACATGCTCAGGATGTACCATAACATGACTGGTGTTACAATGTGTTCGTATCTGAAACAGTACAACGTCTTCAACTGGACTAGAGGTATGTGCGTATTGTTTTACATATATACATATATATATGCTTATTATTATATATGTATGTGTGTTTAACTGGGAAAAGATCGATGTTTTTGTGGATACGTTTTCGCAGGCGGGCTTATAGAGCTGAACATGGGAAGGCCGAGGCCGCTTGAATATGTGGCACATGCATCGTTCTTGGCTTCTCTTTTCGCAGATTATATGAATGCCACTGGAGTTCCTGGATGGTATTGCGGTCCGACGTTCATTTCTAACGTCGTTCTGAAGCAGTTCGCCACTTCTCAGGTTAAAATTGAACGTTCTTTGAAGTGAAAAAGATCTCGATTTTTCTCTAGCTTTCGTTTTTTTTATTATACAGTTTTGATGATTCTTGAACAGGTTGATTACATTCTGGGGAAGAATCCATTGAACATGAGCTTCGTGGTGGGGTTCGGAAGCAAATTCCCCAGGCACGTTCACCATAGAGGAGCCACGATACCGAGCGATCGGAAG